ATTCACCGATAATTTTTTTTAAAGAATCAATCTGCATAATGTAAAAAGTTTCAAATTCGTCTATTCTAAATAAGTATCATATTAGTGCCTCTTAAAAGATTATGGAAATTTTAGTAATACCTTATTCAGTTAGCCCTTCAACGATAATTACATGTTGCTTTGTTTGACAATGCGGGCAATACCATAAAATGTTAACTTGTGATTTTAGTGTAAATTATTGTTTTTATGATACAGATTTATAATCTATAAACATATTACATGTTCAGTTATTTTATTTCATGTCTGATTTTGTACACTTATTCACGTACATAGTGTTCGTTCGTGTATGTTGGAATTTTTCAACTAAATACTGAAATAGTACTATTTTTATAATGCTCCTCTTCTCTAAATTCCCTTTATATGGCATGTTTAAAATATTTACTGTTAGAAAAAAAAATACATTTTAATCTTTGAAAAAGTGATTAGTATAAAAAAAATTGAACTTCGCTCTTACTTATTCAAAATTTTAAACAATTAGAAATATTAGAATTTTTTTATTGGTAAAAAAAAACTTATTAAATTTTATAGATCAATATCTTTTTAAAATAATTTAATTAAAAATAAGTTTAAATGTAGTAAATATAAATTATTAATGTGAAAAAATATGTACTAAAATAATAAAAGGTTGAAATTCCTACCTGGAACGCCTTGATATCCCTTTTAGGTCATTATATAGGCAGTTTTATTTATTACAATTCTTAAAATTGCGTGTTAATGAGTCATTGACGACAACGACTATCAAATTTTGACCTGTTTAACGATATAAAATTTATATTTTCCATTAACTACATTTCAATAGAAAAAATACCCTTGTATCAACACATACATAAAAAAATTTATTTGAGCTGGATTTAAAAACGTCTACTGCCAACAGTATGAATGAGAGATGAAAATATTGTTATTCTAACCTAGTAAAAATTTTGTTATTAAATTACTAGTTTCTCCATACATAATAATATTTATTAACTAAATTATAACAATTATTTCCACCGACTAAGGGGCATCATAAATATTGTTAAGGTATCATTTGATTTTCTCCATAGCATCCACAGATTCTGCATTAACGTCTAAATTAACTTCATTTTATGTTATTTTGTGTCAACTGGTTGTTTACAGAGAATTTTGTCCCCGTTGTTAGACGTCTTATTATAAAATATGATTTATTATCCAATAATTGATAATCATTTTAGTAAATATAAGAGATAAAAAACTGCTGATCTTAGAATTGTTTTATGAGACCAATTTTTTATTGAACTTTCACCTATATATTACTTTATTCCTACTTGTCATTATTTCATTTTAATCACTGAGTCTTTGGTATCTATCAGGGATGCAAAGGAGGATTTGCCCCCTAAAACTTATTTGTCTTGACGAAAAAATCACATGTATTGTCATGTTTTTAGAGAAGATAAAGAATTTTTATTTAACATCTCTGATTTTTTCATATGATTCCCCGTTAAATAAAACGTTGATTTTATATTTAGTAGTTGCCATTTGATTAAAGTAGCACGAAGAGAACGATTTATCTATTACTATTATTTTCTATCGATAGTGAATACCTACAGTTATTTGATATAGATAACCTAGAAATCATCGTATTTTCTGATAACATCATATCTACTATTTTGTTTAGAAATAGTTAGAATTACTGTGGAACTGTATTTTTGCTGTATTTCCTGTTGTAAGTAGCGTAACCGGAAACTAGTCGTGGCATGTCAATTTCTTACCGTGGTTATGGTTAATAGTAAAGTAATTGGATACCGACAGCGTGCGCGTCGCTATAATATTAAAATTGTTGGCACCATTTATTTTGATAGAGATTATGAACACTAAATTAGTAATAAATTATATAGCTCAGTAAAAAAACAACCTACTTAATATTACTATTGGCATACAGTTTTTCCCTGTGCTCGTTAGTAATATTAATTTTTTTCTAAGGGATGAGATATACACAAACAGTGTTGTCTTGACGATGAACAAAAACATCAACTGTTGCTCACACCATTGCAAAGAGTGCGAGAGCGTTTGAGATGACAGAGAAAAAACAGGGGGTATAACGTAGGGTATTAAAAAGAAAAAAACCTACACCTGGCGTATACACTTATGTAACATTTATAATTAATAAACACAATACAAAAATAAGTGTCATCTTACAAAATTGTTTTACCTACGGAAATGTCATACTTTGCATAAAATGCAGTCACTAATAAAATGTCTAATTTAACCAACTTAATCCGTGAAAAATGAATATTAAATAAAAAATTTTAAATGTCTTTCGTAGCATACTTAAGTTTTCTCACGATCGTTTTGAAGAAAAAGCAAAACTAAATGAACTTTGGAATGAGGAAACGTGGAAAACAAGTTTACCTACCTGGTGAACTGGTTTTTAGTAAATACTGCATAGTATTAACAATAAAACTATTTATTTTCTTATAAAAATTATCACGTCATTAAATTGTGTATGGTTTCAAAATCGAAAAAATAACCCAAAAAGCATATTATTTGCTCTACTTAATTTTTAAAATATTTGAATTTCGTTTGGGTTTGGAAATAAATAAATAAAAGCCAGTACTTTTAATTCGACACGAACTTTGCTTTTATTTACAAGTATCGTTACTGTTTTGACTAACAAAATGAATGCGTATGTTCAAAGATTATATAAAAAATGGTTGAAGATCTTTACTCTTCTAAATTTGTATTTAGAGTTTATTTTGTATGAAAACTAATGTGTTGGAATAAGGAATGTACAAAATATTACTTTTTTTAGTTTTATTAATAAAACGAGAGCACTGCTTACAAAAAATTATTAGATTGCATGTCTGTTTATATTTTTAAATATAAGGTATAAATAACTAGACATTGATGATTAAATAAGGTCTAATACATTAGATGGTGAAAAATTACTGACCTTTGAATTTCTAATATAATTGGAACTTCTAGACTAAAATGATATTAGAAGTACCAAAAATATATTCCAATTGAGTTAAATATCATTAAAATATACTAGTATAAACATTGATAAATTATGTAATAGTGTACAATGAAATTCATGTTTTATATATTAAAAAAAAACAAATAAAAATGATTCACTTATTATATTCATCTTACGTGAGTTTAATCTTAAATTTTAAACGATTGTTATCAATGAAATGATACCACGATTTTCTGGACTCAACAGGTCTTAGATAAAGGTTATTGTCTAATATCTTTTCGATGACTAATATTAATATAATATTTGAATATTTAAGCGTTGTACATATTTGACATTATATTGAATAATTTTTGACAAACTATGTTTATGCCTAAAGAATACAGAACATGTATTATAATCGAACAACCCTTGGTGTTTGTGCACTGGCCAAGGTCAGACGATTTTGGATTTGTACAAGAGACATTTGTGTGACAATAACCGTTTATTATTGCCCATTAAGTAAATCTAAAACAGATTCATAAATCACTGCAAATAGTCTTGAATGTTATTATTTACACGTTTTGCAGATATCATTACATGCAACGCTTATTGTGAGATAATTGTACTCAATGCATTGTCACCACTATACGTTTCATAGTAAACTCTCCTTGTATAATTATTTTTGTGAATAATTGCCTCCTTAATGTTGTCTGCTATTAACCCGACTAAATTGTAATTAGGTTTTATTCAAGTATTTTGTCAGTTTTTCAGAAAACCGTCGTTATGTTTCACTATCACATATCGTATTGTTATTTTTCTTCTTTTACTGTCAGGCGTCAAATAATGCACTCTCAGAAAAATTTAGAAAGGGGAAGAATTATTTAATTATTTTAATTAATTTAATTAAATGAAAGAAATATGATTGGATTTGTTGTTTTTTTCACAAAGTTTTAGTGATTCGATGCTTCCATCGAATTTTTTTCAAGGTATCCGATTTCTTTTGGTTTTTTTAACGATATGTTTTGGCTATTTATTTTTATTAAGTATGAATAATGACGCAAAAAACGCAACAATTCGTTTAAACTATTGTAACAATTTGTTATTTGAAAAATACTCTGACTGTAATTTTGTAACCACTTTAGTAACCGTTATAACTCGTTGGTAGTTTAATAAGTAATTGATCTATTTGTTCAGTTTAAGTGTGTGTGTGTGTGTCGTTTTATGCGTTGCCTGTTGGTATTATTGTATTACACATAAAGATGATATGCATTTATGCTGAACAACTATTACAGCGATTTGTTGAAAATATGTGCGCGATTGGGATGTTATCGCCGCTCAGTTTTTCCTCAACCTCCTACTAAACGAAACACTTCCACTTCGTCGTCGTCATCCACAGTCTCTGTGGGCCGGCGACGTTGCCAAACGTTGCGCGTCGTCACCCGCGATTGGATTCGGCTTACAGTGTGCTATGGATCTGTGAGTTATGTTTAATCAGTACAGTAAAAGCACTTTTTAGTAAGATATAAAATAAACTTCGTGTATAACACCTCTTCTTATTAATTGAATTAATTAAATCTCAAACGACACATTGCCACAAATGAGCCAAGTGTTGATTCAACTAGCGAGTTGTTTTCTTCTGATTGTGTTTTAAATGTTATCTTAAGAAACAACGCCGGATTCGGGTCGGTTTATACGACCGATAAGTTTCGTAGACAAATTTGTGATAACATTGCATAGCCATTGCGCCTTGCTAACTCAGTTGTCTAGATCGGTGTATTTCTATGTTCGCTATAGTTACATTGTGACGGCCCAGGGCAAAAAAATAAATAAATACTCAGAAATGTATGTAATAAAAACAAGAACAAAACATAGAGCTTGGATGGTGTCAATCGCGGTTTTGGTGGGAGAATTGAGTTACGGTGGTGTGTCGGTGTTCCAACGCGTCAAGGCGGGTCTTAGTTGTCCCCACTCCGTTGCTGCCCGTTTCCTCCGCAACCCCCTCGCCATCATGTACGCACGCACTACGGCCCACCACTGACTGCTTCACGAGCGCCGCCACACTCCTCCACGTATCGCTCACCGCGGCCCTGGTGACTCTCCATGCACCGTTTTACGCGTTTCCCGTTCATACCGAGAGACCGAACCGAACGACTCCCCCTGTGCCGTGTGCCCGTTTATATGTGAGTGCGTGCGTGCGTGCGACCTACCAAGTGAGTGAGTGAGTGCGCGTTTTGAACTTTTAATAGTTTTTTTTTTTCCATTGTAGTATTCGTACGTTGGCTCATTCAATCACCAAAACTGAAATACAACGTTGGCTTACTGTATTTATCATTGACTTTACGTCGACATGATTGCGGTGACTGCCCTAGGCGTCCACCATCTACACGGGATTTTCTCGTCCCCGGTTGTCGGCCTCGAGACGTCGACGTAACACCAACAACCCTCACCAGTCCTATCCCTTCTTGACTATTACTTAGTAACATTCTACCCCATCAGAAGGATTATCATTGTGATGACGCACGAAAAACACACATGTCATTCAGTTGCAGTTTAATGGAATAATTATTTTATTATTATCATTATCACGAAACTCGTTAGCCACCATTAGATACTGGCACACTTGTATTCGTTGATTTTTCACTCATCGGTGTACCCTTTGACCAGCGTTTCGTATGATTTTAACGCCCCGGCGGCTACGATCGCTAAAGTAAAATAGGCGAGAAAAAAAATCGTCGCGCCCTGTCCCCTCTCACCCAGTCGCCGTACGTCAAGCATCCGGTTGCTGCGCTGTGAGTTTTCTCTGGACGACGTTTTTCCTCCGCCTCAGTTACGTCCTTGCTTCACCGCTGTCGTAGGGATGTTCAACTTCAGGGTTATGATAACCGTTCCGAAAACAGAAAATGGTGATAACGCGTTTTTCGAACTGCAGTAAACGGCACCTTTGCTGTAGCGGTCGTGTCGTCGTTTTCACTAGCTGACACAGATTACACGTCTACTCAGCTTTATACAGGTAAATTCACATTACTTCTGTCATCGGCACACGTATTTTCATGTGTTGAAATTACTCCTATCTTGTTTGCTTTGGTTCGGTTCCAAGTTTGACATGCGGTCTTGTTCGTCTGCTGCGCACTCTTTGATTGCCATGAATATGAAAAGCTATTGTGAAGTGCATATTTTGTTTGTTATTCGCATTTACATAGCGACGTAAACCTATAAAAGGCAACGAAGTAGTTTATTTCTTGTCACATAGTTCATCTTGAGTGATAATAGTTACTTAGAAAATAAGGGTTGATCAGTAGCATAGCTTTCAACACAACTAACTTTTTGTCTAAACATTATCATAATTGGCTTGATTGCATTGATTAAGTCAAAATATCTTGTTGTATTAAATTTTATGTTATATCGCTTTACTTGTTACTATAATTGAAATTAGAAGTCTACTACTTTTTATATTTTCATGTATTAACTTAGATTCAATTATCTATCATTTGCTTAATTCATATAAAATTGAATATCCTCTTTATCGCGGAATAAAGTTATTAAAACTTTTTACAAAATAAAAAATCCATAAAAGAAATGCTAGACTTGTGTTTAAGTTTTGACGTATCATTAACAAAAGCAAATTATAAATAAAATTTGGTCTTATGTTAATGTTAAAGGATAATAGAAAAAAGTTTCTAAAAAGACTGAATTATATGGTTTAAAATTAAAAGTCAGAATAATCTACATTATTAGCTATAAGTTTTATTAGTATAAAAAATATTTTTCATAGAATAATTTTGATTTCTGTTTAAATCACTGCAGTTAATTATTCGTACTTCAAATTTCATTTTCTCAGATTTAAGAGTAATAAAAAGTAAAATATTTCTACAATATAATTATTTAATTAGGCCATATTCTACATTTCAATTTATAGGTAAATTGCATCTTAAATATAGGTCATTATTATTTTATCGTACAATTGTATTATTTTGGCTCTATTTTATGTATTTGTTGAAATTGTTGATAAAAAAAAAAAAAAAAGAGTTGAAAAGATAAAGATTATCAATGGCATTAATGCTAATTTTAAAAGAAAGATTTATTTTTAATTGCATTTAGTTTTACATATTTTGAAGAAATCTTATTTGTGTAAAAATCTTTGTGTAATTAATTAAATACAATATCAAATTATGTTTATTGCTACTGTAACATAAATGTTATTTTTTCAAATATTTCATTTGCCATCTCCATATTTTTATTTCTTCGTTTAGTGTCTTTGATTCTATGTATCTGTATTAGGTCTGAAACACATTCTTGTGATAAATAGCAGATGTTAAATAATAATTATTGTTAAAGTTATTAATTGATTTTTTTTTTGGAAATCAGGATAAAACATTTTAATAAAAAGTTGTTGTAGATCTTAAAAAAATCGTTTAAAATTAAGTTTTATTCTTTTGTTATACATTGACATTACTTACTTCATAATTATTTAAATCCTTTTTTTTTTTTATAAATATTTACTTCTTGGGTATAACCAGAAAAGTCATGGATTGTATAATTAAGACAAAATATTTTTAATTATAAACAAAATAAGTATATTAAATTTTGCCATAGTGTCATTATATTAAATTATTTTTTTTATGAAATTCCTGAGAGAAATTTAAGTGCATTACTAATGATCATAAACAATGTTAAATTATAAATAGTTACAGAAATTTATTTTAAAAAATTCTGAATAATTTCTTAAAATTATTAGTTTAACTAAAAACTTATCATTTTGATAATTCCTATTTATAATTTATAAAAAAAATTTTTTTCTGAATTATATTATAGCAATATTATTCAATGTTTTGATGTATCTATCATTTAGAAATCTGATAAATGTGTATAATTTTTCTAATATTATTGTGAAATTAACTAGAGATATTGTGCCTGACATATAAATTAACAGATATATAGAATATTTTTATTTACATTAGTTCTATATTCCCTTAGTATAATTATAATTTCTTCCATATGAAAACTAAAATATTGAATTAATAATCTACATTTATAGAGTTGGAAGCAACCTTAAAAATTTAAATAAATATAAAAAACATTTTCTAACTATATATTTTAACATAATCTAGTTGTGTTCATTATCTTCACAAAATCGTAAAATAACTTGATTTAATATAAATATTGTTAATAAAAAGAAATTAATACCTGTCATGTCTTAAGTTTTTTGTATGAATTTCTTTTAGTATTATTTAAAAACTGATATATGTAAAGTTTAATTTGAAAATTAAGTTTGGGACAATTGTCTCTTTGAACTTGTCATTAATATATTGTTGTACAGTACATTATCAAATATAATTCAACCGCAGTTTAGAACTCTAGATATTTAGAGGATGAGAATCAAAGTTAAAGTTTTTTATTGTCATTTTCAAGGTTCTTGATTTTTACTATAACAAAAACATCTATTTGTAATATACCGCATATTACAAAATATAAATTTTCATTTATATTCATTAATATTAATTACAATTTTCATAATTCATTTTGTTAATAGTTTTTTCTTTATTTTATATTTCCTTTTATATTGTTATTTTTTAATTAAAAGATATTTTCTGATGTGTATTTATATGTTGATCTATAAACTATATTGTAAGGGCAATTCAGTCCACTTGTCTTTCTAAATAAGAGGGTTTATATTTGTTTTCATTCAATATATATGTATAAATTGTTTTGAAATATCTATAAAACTAGACAAAATTTCTTAAAAATATTTTGTTGGATACATTAGTTCAGGGCAATACCCTGAGGATAGGGGATAAGAATACTTCCACAGCCCCTCTACCAATTGTAAGAGGCAACTAATGAGATTGTGTTACGTCGACAGCCGACGTAAAATTTTTGTCAAAAAGTATGAGTAGTCCTGAACATTAGTTCAGGGAAAAATTATATATGATATCTTAATTTAAAAATAAGATAAAACAATGTCAAAAATTAAATTTAAATTACCAATTTTTTTAAATTAATTGAATTTTGCTTATTTGATTAATATTAAAAATATATCAGTGGTTTAATATCTCTTTAGTTACATTATCAACTATTATTAATTTATCCCTCATGTCCTCTTTGAAAAGATATATTTATGTTAAAGAGGATTGGAAACCTATATAATCCAGCACAACAAAATCAAACCCTGGTATCTATGCACTGAGGCACAATGTGTTCCTGTTTAAGCTAAATAGGTTGTTGTATAATTGCTATGAATAAGGCCGGCAAAAAGTCAAAATTGCCAATGCATTTGCAGAGAGTCTGCACTTTTAATGACCTCATATGCATAAATGAAAAACAAAAAATGTTTTGCTTATACAAATGCTGGTACTGACTATGAATTATCAAAATAGTTGGTATATATTTCAGCATTTAATGTATATTAAAATTCATTTATAAGTATTTTTGGCCAAATCTTAGTGAAATACAGTTCATCTNATGAAAAACAAAAAATGTTTTGCTTATACAAATGCTGGTACTGACTATGAATTATCAAAATAGTTGGTATATATTTCAGCATATATTTCAGCATTTAATGTATATTAAAATTCATTTATAAGTATTTTTGGCCAAATCTTAGTGAAATACAGTTCATCTTAAATGAAAAATTATTAACAGTTTTTTCCCTTCCTTACCAACTAATACTTTCATATTTAACCCTTAGTTTATCTTAGAATTCCCAAATCTATTGATGAATTCGAGATAAAATTTTATTATTTTTATTTTACATCACTTTATACTAATATATATCAAAAACAAAAAATTAATTATAAGTTGTCATACTAATAATTCTATTAGTAATTTGTAACATAAAATATTAATTTCCTTAACATAAATAATTTTATAAGTTGAATGCTTTTTACAATTTTTATTTTACATTTATTATTTTCATTGTCTAAATTTGCAAAGTTACTATTTACTAAATGTAAATATTTTTTTTTTAATCATATTGTTTTATTTTTAATGTTATGCATCATTGATTTATTAAATTGTCAATCCTTTGAGGGATGATAAAAGTTTTTAAAAATGTTTTAAATGAATAGTTACCATATGATTTGTGAATTTATGACTTGGATATTGCTACCATTTAATTAGTATTGATAATATAACCTTACTCTTTAGATTTTAACTTTTTTTATTCACTAGTTGAAATGTTCCAACAACGACTATTTCAAAAATTAAATTTTATAATTTACTTTTCAAAATCTGATATGAACAATTTATTACCAAATTATTTTTAATTCTTAAGTTTTACTAATATTCATATATTTTTATGATAACCAATTGATGATTTAAAGAAAAAATACTTCTTACAAATTAAAAAATCGTTCTCATACAGTTTTCTTATATTTACATTATATTTTCATAACTTTCTTAATATCTGAGCTATAGCTGAATGATTACATAGGTCTCATAAACCCACTGGCTCATCAATTATCTATCTTTATTTAGTTAAATTTACCTCAATATAAGGATAAGTGTAAGTTTTCTTTATATAGTTTGTTTTATACAATTATATGTGATATAAAAAATGTGTTATTTTGTGTTGTGTTAAAATTGTTTGAAATATTTTTAAATTAATTTGAAACATGTAAATTAATAGGAATAATGTAAAATTGTATATTTTATTGATTTTGGCGTTCGTGATCAAACCATTATTTATTGTTTAATATGAAACTTGGTGAAGTTTTTAATGGAAAATTAAAACATTACATTTAAAATGTTAAAAGAAAATGTTGATTATATTAAACAATTTTAACGTAATTATTTAGTGAAATATATCATATAATGACTTTTTCGGTATCATTTGCTTGTTAGTATAGTTACGATTCTGCCACGAGTTACAGCAGCTAGTAAACGTTGAATAACTCTCAATTTACCGTTATGATGATCAAAATTCATCAGAGCGAGTAACATGGCTGTAGAAAGTAAAGTTAAGTGTCACGTATTATTTTGTTAGAATGAGGGTTGATTGGACTTGTATTTATTTAAATAAATAATAACACATTTTTTTGAATATATATAACTTTCTTATAGGATATCATTTATTGTTTATGTGCTTAAATAATAACAATAAAATCTAATATACTCCTTAGAAGTTTTTTCTATAAAAAAATTTGTCTAATTAAAAATAAATATTTATTCCGTGTTATATTTTCTTATTTGAAAAAAAATGTTCCATTTTATAAAGCGCATAATTACGCACATTACGATCAGTCTTAAGTTTATTACTAATTATAACTAGTATTGTTTTTGGCAAATAATGAAAATAAATAAATTATAATTCGAGTTATCGTCTGTAACTTCGTTACGGTAAATTGTTTATATTTACTGTTATTGTTTACTTAAAAACAATACTTACAATATTTAACTAATTATATATATATAAACTAATGTTATGTGTACTAATAATATGTGGGGTATTCTATATATATATATATATATAACTATTATTATTATAGTTTCAATATTTTGAATAACATAATATCTTGAAATTGTTTCCAAGAAAATATTAGTCACTTATTTTATCTAAACTTTCAACTGGATAAATTATCTAAAATGTTAAATAATTATAAAAACATGAATTACTTGTAAAAATATTCTAATACCTGAAATTGAGCTATACATTATTTTTATTCAAAATTTAACCACCTCTCAACTATACGAGAACACATAAAATATTAAAACGTAGAATAAATTTTAAAAAATAGCTACCGCTATACGTGAAGTTTTTAGTTTAGTAAAAAAATGCAATCAATAGCATAATTCAAGAAACGATCTATCGCACTCGAGTAAATTTAGTTGAGTAATTACAGACAAAGTTTGAGTTGTAACCTTAGTGACAAAATACTTGATAATTTAATTTTTTAAATTATTTTTAGATTTAGATTTTTTTTCCTAGGAACACTAACTACCCCGTGTTAATTCTAGTACAACACTTAGTATGTCTACACTTCAATGGGTTAACTTGTAACAAGGTGTATTAATTATAGTTACCGTGATGTATACCATTAAACATTAATCGCGGAATTGTAATAAATTATTTATTATCTTTTAACAGTACAATTATAAATATTAATGAATCCATTAATCTTAAACATGGTTGATTTAAGAGTTAAAATAAAAGTTATTAACTGGTGTTTCTAGTCAAAAAGTTATAATTATGTTCGATTATAGTTTGAATTAAACAAATTTAAATAAATAGAAATAGTGGTAGCTGTTTTGATTCACAAATCTAGGTCATGTTTTACACGTGGTAAACTATCTAATTGTTATTTAAGTATGAATATGTTGTGATCGTATGAATTTGTGTAAATGTGATCAAATATTACAATAAAAGTATCCATACGTCACGAGTTCTTTGTACTTGCACTATTGTCTTATTATAAAGCTACTTAACGTTTTTAATTACAGACAAGTTTGTTAGTTTCAAAAAAAAAATTTTCCCCTAAGTGAAGTTACTGTTAATCAATATGAAGAAATTTAATTAGAAATTTATTACTGTTAGTGAGCATATGCGGTTAAAAATGAAAATAAAGTAAACATTTACTTTTTAGTATTATTATTATTCATATTTTCATTGATGAGATGATTTTAGGTTGTTGATCAAAATGTTAAAGATAATAATACTTATATATTGTTGAATTAAGTATTAACTTACGATAAAATAAATATTACTCATAATTATTTTATATATTTTAATAAGGCTCATTTCATTTCTTAATAATTATTTATTTGTAGTTAAATATATTTTGTATTTGAAAGAATATGAATAAAATTAGAACTTGAAATCGACTCTTAGAGAATAACAATATTAGGGAATCTCACAACTTAATTACAATTGAATATTGTCATTATAATACATTCTAAACTAATATCGTACTTAATTTTTTGTGTTGCAAAGTCAAACCAAAAACCATTTAGAGAAATTTTATAGTAAGTTACTGAATTATTAAATTGTCAAAATGGTCAGACATACGTAAATTATTTCTCGAAGTTGCGTCATTATCATTGTCGTTTTATACTAAAATAAAAGCTCATATTATCACGGCTATCTCTAAAAAATGTTTTTAAAGGTATAATGTGATTTAATGTGTATATATTTTTTAAATTATTAAAGTAAACAAAAATCGAATTTATAAAAATTTGACTGTACTGGACTTCTTGTAGTAGTTACACACGCGTCTGTTTCGATTTAATTTTTTTTTTTTTTAATGCGAATATTTGTTTTAAAAACGCCAGTGGTCTACGATTTTTATTTAAAATTATTAATAATATTGTGTATAATAAATTTAAATTTATGTTTGTTGGTCGTGTATAATTGATTTATAGTAATTGATAATTATAATTATTCAAATATAATTTTTAATATATATCATATTTTTATATATTTCCTTAAATATTTTTACAGACATTAGACTTTGATTAAAAAATTTTATTTATATCATAGTTTTTGGAAAGCGACGATAAAAAAAGGATCATTTACGTTTAAACGTTTAACTTTACTCTAGTTTTTCATACACCCGATTAGGGCTACTTCTTATATATTTAATTTAATTTTAATACATTTTTCATTATTTTTAGACCAAATTATTATCTAAAAGTAATTTCACAATGAATTATATTATTTTAATCCTACCTTAGATTTGTATTTGAAAATAGTGAGCACATTCAAAATTATTGGTCGAACAATATACATTTTTTAATCGACTGATCGTGTTATAGATCATTTATAAATATCTTATGATAATGTTTGTTAATAAAACTGTTGTTAATTTCCAACTAACTAGAAAAATTTTAATTTTTTTACCTGCCTATAACCAGCATAACTTAAATAAACTATCTTTTGTTATAGATATCAAAAAGAAAAAACGTATCTCTGATCATTACTATTTAGTTGCTGACAATGTTGGGGAGCAGCATGCACCATCATCGGAATATGTCATTTCCTCATGGTGGTAAGAATCATTACTTTTAGTTAACAGTTATGAACTTATTTAAAATAAAAAACCATAAGAGGATTTGAAAAATTTGAAACTTTAAAAAAAATTTAAATAAAAACCCATTAAATCAGTGGTCGGCAACCGGCGGCCCGCGTGGCTATTGAATACGGCCCGCTTTAAATTCTAAATCGACTAATTTAATTGAATATCATTTTGTATAAATATAATTGAACGTTGCGTTTTTGGTACGGGTATTTTATATAAGTCATATTATTATTTTAAGTTTTAGATAGTATTTTTTTTGCATAATAAATAATGTAATTATAAATTTTTTTTTTTTATCTGGCCCGCGAACTCTTTAATTTGTAAATGTGGCCCGAGAATTAAAAAAGGTTGCCGACCACTGCATTAAATTATTCCCTCCCACTAAATACGTTTATATTAAATAACACCTAATTTTTCTGAATTTCTAAAAAAAAACTCCCCAGTTTCTGCCAATGTAAAAAACAATGAAATATTATTTTTAATCTGTCCTATGATTTTCTATTTGTCCATTGTTAGTTATTAACCAATATCTATTTAGTTAGGGTTGTGCAAGTAACTTTTCAAGGTTAAACGCTGATACATGGACTATTTATAGTATACCTAAATGTTTTCAGACAAGAAAATATTCAGTTGCGTGTTTTATTCTTCGCCATGTATAATTTTATGAAATTATTAAAAAAAAACTTGTTTTGTAAATATACTTCTTTGAGGATTTATCCTTGTATATTTCCTATGATATTTTGATTAACTATTAATCTTATCTTAAATTAATAATTTTTCTAAAGTAACTTTGTATTTAAATAATGTTAATTATGTATTTCGAAATTTTTCGTTTACATGATTTTTAATCTGTATTAAACTTTAGCACTAGCTATTACTTAAAAACGTGCAATTATTTTTTCTACTTGAGATCATTTTTCATTTAAAATAATACTGGCCACAAATGATTAAATCTTATTATACAAACATTTTTCATGTTTATTTTTTTTTAATTATCATAAAAAAATTAAATTATTTATAGGTTCTGTGATACACAATGCTATGCCTCCTTCACCTGTTAGTAAAAAGTCTGTAGGTAGTGGACGACTAAATGCCGTAGTGAACAAACTTCATTTAGCAAAACAGTGTACTTCTGAACCTGTGTACCCTGAAATGATTGATGAACATAATTCAATTTCAATCCTGCATAACTTGCTAAATCCATCTTCATCGCCATCACTACCACCATCATCTAATATAGAGAGAAAAACATTACGTGCCCCACCTGCATTATTTCCACTTACTTCTGAAGTAACAATACAACGTTATCCAATTATTCATCCAGTCAATGATAGACCTTTAGATGTTTTTCAACGACTTAAACGTTTGGGAACTGATATTGAAATGGAAGAAATTCACAACAATGAAACAACACTGAGTATAATTCCTACACCAGTTGCTTCATCTCAGAGTGCACCTAAATCAATCTCTTCAACTATGAATTACAAAACTAATTCACCAGCTACTAGTCTAATAGTTATGCCTAAAACTAATGTGTTCAATAACAGGAAAATACCTGAACCTTCTGTTGTTTTGGAAGTGAAAGTGACACCTAAACAGCAAAAAGCTCAAACTCAAAATATTTCTAGTTGTAATACTAAACTTAAAAACTTTGAATTTTCAATTGACCAGTCACAAATTCGTGTAACAAATAATGGTCACAAGCTTTATTCATGTAATATATGTTCGGGTATTTATCAACGAAGGGGTGCCTTAAAGAAACATTATTTAAAAGCTCATATCAACTATCATTATTTAACATCCCGGGATCTGCAAATTGCAGGCTTTAGAGGTGAGCGACTTGATAAAATGTTAGACAAATGGAAAGACACTAATGGTCAAATTGGTTATTATCACTGTCATAAATGTTGTTTATCATTTGATACACCATTAGAATTAAGAAGGCATGTATCCAACCACCCTCCTCCTGTTATTTTGCATACATTAGCTGTTAAGAAATTATCTGATGTAGTTACCAAAGTTTGTGAACTATGTTTATATTGTGATAAAAAAATTGAAAATGAAGATGATAGAAAAACTCATTTATCTAAAGTGCATCCCCCTAAAAGAAGATGTCACATATGTATTTATTGTCAATTTAACTTTTTTGATTTATATACTTTACATAAACATATGTGTACCCTTCATGAAGATGTTTATTATGGTTGTGCTGAGTGTAAAGAACGGTTTTTAACCAGAGAATTAGCCAAAAACCATAAAAGTATTTGTTTAAATAATTTATGTATTAAATTAAAACCTGAAACTAGTTTTAAAAAAGAAGAATTTCATTATGAAGAGCCTATAGTTGAACTGATAGAACTTAAAGTAGAAGAACATAAAACAGTAGATATTAAAAAAGAACCTCATTTTCTGATTGAAGAATTACAGCAAAACGAGGAATTAAGTAAAAAAGAAGAAATTAAAAAAAAAGATGATACCAAAGAATATCCTTATTATTGTCCAGATTGCAATAAAGGTTTTACTCAACAACCTAATTTAGCTCGACATATGAGTTTAGGACATGGAAAAAAATTAGAGTACAAAAAGACTACAAAAAAATTATTACAAACAATCAGTAAAGTAATTTTACCCAAAAAACCTATTGTAAAAATCCAAGAAAAAGAATTAAAAGATGAGATTCAAGACTTAAGTGCTAAAGGAACTCAGTTTGTCTTTCTTAACAATAAAAATGAATTAGTCACTAAACAAGGGGTACCTTTTGATATATCTTTTATGAATCTTGAAATTCAAAACAGAATCAAGCGTATGGTACCATCTTTAAATCCTAATTCATCATTGAGTGAAGATGACATGACTTTAGGTTCTTTAGAAGCAGATGCAGCATCGTCATATGGTTATCGTAGTCCTCATGGTATGTAAAATAAAAATTATAATTTTTTTTTTTTTTATTTAATTATTTTTATATAGATCCCGAAAGAGAAAAACTTGAAGGATTTAGTGGTGAATGGCTATATCCTCGTACCTACATTTGTTCTGCTTGTCCAATGAAATGTTCCAACATTTGGGATATTTACTATCACAAATGGAATGCACATCCTAATGTACTTTGTCATCATTTCGATATACCTATAGATCAACTTCCAACTAATAAATGGGTAAGTATTATTTGATAGTATTTATTTATTTATATTTAATTTTTTCTTAATAACTTAAATTAAATTTTACAGCGACCAGAACGAAATTTAAGCAGGATTGGATTGTTATCTGAATGTGAAGAATTGAAAACTGAACTACAACAGTGTTCAAAATGTGGAAAAACAGAAAATGATATTGCTCAACTACATCGTCATTTACTAGATTGTGGTGGTGATACTGAGTGGCTCAAAACTATGGTACATACTACAAAATCACCAAATAGCAAAAAATCTAGGTAAGTTACAATTTTAGGGAAGGTTACTTTAATTAATGATAAAAGTTTAATTATTTTTATATAATTTAAATATTATTTTTAAGGAAAAATTGGAGACCTTTTAATTTTCGAAGACGTAAAAATGGCAGAGCAAGACATGGTTTAAAACGAACCCCTCCTACACCTCCTTTACCTGTTGTTAAAACAAAGCCGGGTGATGGTATGTTCATAAAAAAACTTTTTAGAAATTTAGGTTAAAATATTTTTTGATATTATACAGCTGAAAGTGTAAGTAGAATGATTGCTGATCTCCCTCCAAAAAGAGTAACAAGAAGATTAGTTTTTGAAACTCCTAATGGAAATAATCAAGCAACAATTAATAGTGTAAGTGTTTCATTGTTTTTCTTTTTAATTTATAATGAATTTTCATTTATTTCATTAAGATTATAAACATAGAATTAAGTTACTATAATTTATTGTTGTTTTAAATTTAATTTGTCAACCTAATATTGAATATAAAATAATATATATAGGTGTTCAGTAATGTACAGGTTAATTGTTATAATCAATGAGAACAATAGAAACTTGTTTCCTTACTTACTGAACACTATATATAATATATAAATGGGCTTTTTAAAATTATACATTTTATTTTAATTTTAAATGTTTACATGCTTTACCCATAAAGAAGTCTGTGAGACATAAGGTATTTTTAAGACTGCAAATGTAATTCTAGTAATTTTTTCATTGTTAATTAAAATTGAAAAAATTTTAGGTTCCATATGATATGAGCCGAAATCTGACTATCTCAAGTTCAACAACATATAGTAAGAAAATAAAGAAACCACTGCCATTATCTACTGAAACTGCCAATTTAATATCTGAAGCTCCTGATTTTCTGCGTAAATTAAATATTATGCGAGCTCCACCTAAGCAAATAGAACAAACTACTGGACCATTTAGTAAAAATGAAACAGAAGAAATAATTGCAGCTATGAAAGAAACATTGATGGCATCACCAGCACCAACTCCTGTTGTTCTACCCAAAAAAAGAAAAAGGATTCTTTATGATTTTAAACAACTAGCTGAAAAAATTGCAAAACATGATCATAATGAAATTCTTGATCCAGATACAAAAGAAATTGAGAATACTGACACACCAATAGAAGAAACTGTTGTTCGAATACCTACAATTAAAAAGAAAGGTAAAAACTTGATGAATGAAGTACAAGTTGATTTAATTAAACAAAATCGACTAAGGCGAAAAAGAAATGTCCCTGAAAAAGGTTTAGAAAATCCAGTAGTTCCACTTAAAAAATCAAAATTTGAACCTCAAACAAAACTTGTAAAAAATATAGCTCCAGAAAAAGAAGTAAAAGCAGAAGTTATTCAAATTAACAAGAAAAAAACAAAAAAAATCACAAAAAAAGTTATTAATGAAAAAGTAATTTCCAAAATTCAAACAAGAAACAGCAAAAAAAACACTATTGCAAAATCATCTTCATTAGAATTAGATCCTTTAAATGAGAAGTCATTAAATAATGAATCATTTTCAAATTTTATTGACCTAGAATCTAGTCAAGAACTATGTTTAACTGAAATAATTGATAAAAAAAAAGTGACTAAAGTGAATCCTTTCAAACCAAAGCCAAAACATAGACGGAAACCTGGTATATTTTTTGGGTCAAGAAAAAGAAAGCGAACTACAAAAACTGAAAATAAAACACAGTCTTCAGCAAATAAGTTGAATGTAATTCTGAAAAACTCTCAATGTTCAGATACACTTGTAGTAGAAGTAGATAGCAAAGAACAAATATTATCTAATTCTGAAGAAATATTCAATGAACTTGTTAAATCAACAACTCCACTACAAGAAAAATGTTTAAATTCTGACAAAAATGCTCAGAACGATTCCAAAGTTCAATTTATTGATAAAGTAGAAGCAAAAGCAATTACTCCTTTTAGTGCTGATGCTACAGAATCAAAAGAACCTGAAGAAATTGCTGAACCTCGTTGGCATTCACAATCTGATTCTTTTTTTGATATACCTTCTACCATCAGCTTAGGGTCTATTCTAAGTTCTGTTAATAAAGTTAGTATTTGAGTATTATAATATATTTTCTATATCAGAATTACTATATAAATTTTTTTTAGATATTAGAAGGACCCGATAGTAATGTATCTAACTCTGATGAAAATGATTATTCATGGTCAGAATTGCAACGTGCAATGGGTGCTACAGATGAAGAAATGGCAATATTGCAAAACTTTGGCACAAATCCTGCTCAAGAAAATCAAGAAGTGAATGGTGAAAATAATATGAATTTTATTGACTTAGATTGTCGACAAGAAGCTTGTACCAATAATGTAAGTTTTGTATTATATAGTTACATAATCGACAATCATACTCAGATTGTATTGTAAAGAAAAAAAAAATTTTTTTTATATTGTATATTTATAGGAAGATAAAACAGAAAAACAAGATAATACTGAACTAAACTTCAAATGCAAAGTATGTGATCAATGTTACAAAGGTATTGCTGCTTTTCGTATACATTCCCTTGATGTACACAGTATCGAAGATCCAGAATTAGGTATATATTTCATTTGTATAATAATAATTCAAATTGTTATGAGGTTTGCTTTTTATCTTTTTTTTTTTTTTTTTGTCATACAAAAAAAAATCAGGTTTAGTTAGAATAGTTAAATATTTTATAAAGTTTGAATCTTATTTTTTGTAAAATTAAAAATATTAGTACTTGATGGCTGTTTTTCCTTTTTATTTAAAATATATAATATAAATGTTTGTAGTTAATGTAATAAAATCTGATAATCTACTCGTCTGTTGGGTATGCAAGCTTATCATGGAAGGAGGATCAGAAGAACTAGAAGAACACATGGTAAAAGACCATGAGTTTGACGATGCCAATGGGTAAGGCAAAATTTTTATAAAAAGATTATTAATTGTATTGGTTTATAGTGATAAAATGTATAGCTATTGCTTTTCTCTCTATTTTTAGATAAGAAATTATCTAATGAGAGAAAAAATAAAAGATAGAAGTTCTAATCTTGTATACATAATTATTTTCTGCCAATTTTTATTTCTTATCTTAAAAAGATAGAGATAAAAAAAAATTATAACTGAATTTTATAATATTGTATTTTAATTATTGATTATTATTAGTGAAAATGGAAAAGAATTAAAGAACAAAATGGTCAACAAATTAGGTGAAATTTTAGATCAAGCCTTAAAAAATCTCATTTCATCTACACAAAAACCGTATGATAAATTTTTTTCATTTTAAAATCTGAACTTTTCAAGTATAATCAATAAAATTTATGAATCTTAAAATTTTTACTATATTTAGAAGTATTGGAAAAATTTGGAGTGGTGGTGCAATAACATTATTAGGAAAACTATGTGCTTTACGTAATAATGAAAAAGGTACTACTGTGTCAAGTAGTATTGCGAATTCAGCACTTGCCAAGGATTTACGTAAGGTAATTGGACGTAATGGCAATGGTGCCAATAGTAAACCTCAATCAAAGAAATGGCAATCTGCACATGCTCTACGTCAAAATGCTCGTTTAGCTGCATTATCTGAAGCTGCTCAGCGATTAACACCAATAATTGATTCTGATGATTCATCAAGCATTTATAAGTGTCCAATTTGTAATATAGGGTAAATAAAAATATTAATCAATTAACAAAAAGATATAAATAGCAAAATTGAATCTTTTTTAGATTTGAAACTACAAGTACCAGAAATAAGCATATTAGTCGAGCACACAATGGACCAAAAAAGTCTACTCGTCTTGAGATTTCTTCACAAACATGTAAGTTAACATCTTGCATATTTTAAATATTTCTTATAGGCACCTCATGTATACAATTTCACTACACCCAACATATTTTTAACACTTGACATTTTTCCTCAATTTACTTAGATTTATATAAAATTACTAAACCTATTTACTTACTAAAATAAAAGGGTTTTTTTATAATTTATCAAATAGTTATTGAATAATTATTAAATTAAATGTATTTTTTCATAAGTGTTAAACATTAATTTATTTAAAAATATTATGTCAACTCCATCTTTTCAAAGTTAACTGTCTTAAGTTTTTTAATATTTGACTTGGTTAATAATTATTTCATTCACTTGTTATATTTATTAATATCTCAAAAAACAATTGTTTTAGCTGACACTAACAAACCAGCGTCTCTCTCAGAAGAAACGGCTGAACCTCCTGCTAAGGTACATCCAATGTTTACTGTTGGTGCATTAAATCGTAGAGGACTAAAAAAGTTTAACAGTACATGTGGCGAAGAAGTGCGAGCACGAGCCAAACAAGCCTTACGAGATCTTGAAATTAAATCAAGATTAAAACATTACACATTTTCAGGCGACCAACCTCCACCTAGTTGAATTTTTATTATTGGCCTCCTTTTTTTTGTTATTTAATTGTTGTATAGTACAATATGTTTGTTTATGGTACTAATATCTAAAGATAACCAAACTGTGTTCAATTCACTCTTGTAATATTGTTTTATAATTTTTTTTATACATAAATTTAGACTATATGGATTATATGTATATATTTGAAAATAATTGTTAAATATTTTTATTTGTAAATATCAGGTAACTAATTACTTGTAACCTACATTAACCTATAATGTTCATACATATAAATATATATATATATTTTTTTTTTATTATTTTTAAGACAATTTTTGTGTTTTGTTATCACTTCTTTATAATTATTATCACAACAAGCTTGATAATAAATTCTAGACAATTTTAGACTGACTAGTGAAGTTTTTTTTACAAAAACATTTTATATAAAAAATTTAAAGAGCTTAAAGTAATTTGTTAAGTTACTAGTTAACATTTTCAGTTTTTTATGTTCAACTAATATTTATTTATTATTTATTATTATTTTATCATAGTGTACTTGTATTATTGACTAAATTTTGTGTAACTCATGTGCCTTTGTACTGTATTAATTTCATTACACGTTTTTTTGTAACATTTGAAAGTCACAAACCTATCTGAGATAAACAAAAAAGTAACTGTAATATCTTTTTTTATTTATTTATTATTTTAGTAAAATATTGTAGTAAATTAAATGGGTAATGTTAGTAATAAAAATTAGTTAAAAATTATTTTCATAAAATGAAAGAATTGTTATAACTTAGACAAATATCATTGATAAACTACATATTATGTACCTTTTAAATAAAATAAATTATTGTAAAGCCTGTTAAACAAGGATATTTTATTAAAATAGTTACATATCTAAATAATTACATAATTATTCCATGAGGTATCTTACACAATAAGTAGACTATAGTAGGTTCATATACAATTAACTTCTGCTCAATAATGGAGGTTTTTTGTGTAATTTATCAATGAGACTATTAAAATTTGGAAAGACTAATAATAGGCATGCACTAAATATAACATAAACTAAACGCTTATTTAGTGTTTTATGCTGTAGCATTACAACTACTAGATAAATACCACGTCGAGTCACATCATTACCCATTAAATGCTTGAGCTCATCTAAAAATTTAAGTTTCATTAATTTAATTGAATAGTCAATTAATGTGTATAATAATTAATACCTGAAACTGAAGATAATAGTGCACATTTAGCAGCTACTAATGTCCTAAGTTGTAATTCACTATCACGAAACTGTAATTCAGAAGCACGAACACCATCAGGCCATAAATTGTTTCTAAATGAAGTATATTAAAATAAAAAAATATTTAATTGATTTTTTGTTAGGAAGTTAGCATATTTAATGTAATACTTTATAGCAGCAATTAACATTGATACTCTATATGGATCTGTAACTGTTGTCACGTATTCTTTAAATCTTCGGTTGACTATATGACCAAAAGAAGCTCTTACAATATGCTGTAATAATATAACAAAACGCTTTCGAAGCCACTGTTGCTGTTCATCAACTTCAAATACTTCAGCTAATAAAAGTAATACTGCGCGCATCGGTAAATTATCATCCTAAAGTAAATAAATAACAAAGACCCTTAAATAAATTAACATTTATAGTGTTGAATTCAAGTACACTATAGTATCTCTGGCATTAGGTTAGACTGCCTGTAAATAAGTGAGTTATACATAGTGTATATATAACATTATTATATCTCATAGAGATCACCATAAAAAAGACTGAATTCAACACCGTAAATGATTCCATTTTTCACATTTACTTCATCTCCAAATATTCTAATTTGAGATTTAGTAGGCCCCAAAACTTTGCTTATATTGTCCATTACTCCATCAACTGTATTGAATATATTATCAGGAACTGTTTTCACAACATTACCAACCGCTTTTAATGGATTGAATAAAAGATTGTCAACTGTTGTTTTGACAATTTGTCCAGATAGTAATGCTGCTTTTTTATCTTCTGGCCTTTGTTCAAGAAACTGTTCAACCATATTTTGAACTCCAGGAAAGTTAACAATAGTTGATGATTTTAATAGATTATGAATAAATTGATTAAGCATCATCATACGTTTTTCTAAAACTCTCCTGTCAGCATTGTGAAAAGTTTTTTTACCAGGAAATGATAATTTACCTAGTTCTGCATACTAAAAAAAATATTATTATCTTTTATATAGTTTCTTTTATTTTTATTTAAACTTACTCTATCTTTTACTCTTTGATACAAGTCATAAAAATCTGAATATCGTTTATAAACATGCCAATTTTCTTCTTTTCCAGACATATAGACTCTTGTTATTGATACTGCATAAACTCCAAAAGTTTTACCACCCTCATTAACTAGACCTAAAAAAAAAACATTAAATTACAATATTCTCTTCAAAATCATCTCAAAAAATAAATTAGAACAATTAAAAAGGTGAGCATAATTATTTGATCTAACTGCCACCCCATTAAGGATTTTTTATTTAAAAATTAGACAATGATTTTCTGTTTTTTATTTATTACAATATACTAACCAGTTTCAATTATATCTGCTGATAATATTGACTTATCCTCTTCTGGTTGACTAGGACTCATTGCTTTTGCGTTAGAAAGAAAATCGTTAACTTTATCTAAAAGATAATTTACTTTTAACTAATAAAATTTATATTAAAATCATATTATAATTTAAAAAAACAATGTGTGTTAAAAATAAGCGGATGAAGTGAAATTTCTTTCAGAATTATTCAACTGATAGAATATTAGGTTTGTATTGGAATCAAATAAAAAAATACACAACAAATTTTATTTTCAATTGATATTAATTTAATTAATTACTAATTATTAATTTTCTTATTCTATTGTCACCAAAGATATAATAGGCTATGATAAGTAAAACAACTTATGTCAATTTTTGATTGACATATTATAAAAATATTGTGTAAAAATTGCATCAATTGTGGTTTTTTTTAAACTTTTTTTATGCACAATCAAAATTATTTAATGCAATTTAAATAACACTTAAAACAATACTTTAATTTTCAAAAATAAAGGGCTAAATTATAATATGAAATATACTTTATTATTTACTATTATTATTTATTAATAATGTAATACCTATAAAGTTAATTAATTATACATACTAATAAAAAAAAAAAAATGTATAAATAATATTTATTATTTATTTGTATTTATTTTTATGTATAAAAATAATTAAGAATAAATAAAAATATCTAAAATAAATATTTTTTATATTTATTTATAAAAAACAAATATAATACATTTTTTTTTATTAATTATTCATTATTGATAAAAATAAATAAGAATAAATTATATTTTATACTATCATTTAATTATATTTATTTATTTAAATATTTATATTAATTATTTATTCTTATTTATTTTAATTAAAATAATTATACAAACAATTTTTTTTCATACAAATCAATAAGTTTAAAGTGCTATATATAGCACTTTATGTTTTAAAATAAAATCTTGTTTTATTAAAATATTTATATAAATTTGGCGAATTATTTAAATAAAAAATGCAGTAATTTTTTTAAATTCACATCAAGGAATTAAATGAACAAAATATAAATTATTTTTGTTAAAAAGTATTATATTAATTAAAAATAAATATTTATTTATATTATTGTTTCGGTCTCAGAGTGGACTGTATAATATGCTTACTTTTAACTATTTACTTAATAAGAGATAAAACTCAAAACTTTTAACTTAGTTTATAATACTTCATTTTGTATAAAACTTGTTGACGTGAGCGTCGTGCCATCCTTTACAATGATGAGTTCATTGTTTGACTACTATAAATACAATAAAAGAAACTGGTACACACCGGGTAAACGTGCTTATCTCATACAATAACAACATAAAAAAAAAATAGATTGAACAATTATCACAATATATTTTGCAATCATTAGTGGAATATAAATGTTTATTAAATGCACACATTTATTGAACTTACACGTTCATCAAACAATAAAATTTTGACCATATACCAAATACAACAATAGAATCCGTTCATTACGGCCAATTGTGATGAGGAATAGTCTTTTTTTTGGACCATCTGTTAAGAAGTTTCACTTTAAAAAAACTAAATTTATAGAAAATTTTAGTTTTATACACTGTTAATTTTTTTTTATAATTTTTAGTTGTTATGATTATTGTTATTTAAGGATACAACAGAAAAAATTAATATAGTTAATTTCATTAATAATTTTTATGAAATAATATTTTATTTAACTAATATAATAAGAGTGATTTCAAGCTAAAAAAATTTAATATAAAATTGATATAAGCATATTTACCTCCAGTACCCTTTAATAGTTGTTGTACAGCATCCATAGGTAATAAATAGTCAGTAGTAGATATTGATGATTCATTATTTTCATAAATATCTGATCCCAGAGATTTCATTTCAAGATCAGTTATGAGTCTTGAACAAGATTCATGTTTACCAAACCCAGATATAATTCCTTTTTCGGGCTGCTCATAAACATTGAAAAATACATTGATATATAAAAACATTTTAAATCTATTAATTTAAAATTATGTATTAAAAATTAGTACTTTTGTAATGAAAAACTAATTTTCTATAGACAAAAAAAAGTTTTTATTTATACTCATTGTAAAAAGTTCTTTATCTAATAAGTAAACTAATAAAAAAAATATATTATTAATATTTTTTCAAATGAAAAAATTAAAGTTTTTATTATGTTTATCATACTTTTAAAAGTGCTTTATATAATGCATTTTGAACATCATCAAACCAATTTTCATCAACAAAGTCAATATTAATTTTTTTAGCAAGAGATTTAACAAGTTTTTCTCCTAGTTCTTCTTGTATTTCAGGCTATAAATTAAATTTATAAAAAAATAATGTTGTATATAAATCATGACTAAATTTACCTTTTGACATATGTAAATTGAATACAACTTTTTTGCTTCGCCTCGAATGTGATCAACAGTAGCTAGTTCAGAAGATGTATATTGACTAGGATCAATTGTTACATTTTTCATTTGTTCTTGTACAAATTGTTTCCAACCTATAGTGTTTACAGCATCATTTTTATAAATAATAAAAGTTGAACAATTATTCAAATTTAAAACTATGTACCATCAATATTAATGTAAAATGATATGAAACTTTCACAATTTATGGAAGTCAAATAGTCAATAAAATATGGTAAAGCGTTTTTACTTTCCAAAATCCATTTTAATGTTAATGAATCATTTTTAGGGGAAGACACAGAATTATCAAATGACAGTAAAAAATCTAAAAAGAAAAATACATACTTCTATAAGAAAATGGTTTAGAATTTTTTAAGTAACAATATTAATTAATAACAGAATATATTATAACTTTCACTATCTACTACTTGTAATTTTATTACAATAACTTTTATTATCTTAATGTTATTTTCAAATAGTACCTAATGATCTGTCTGATTGTTGAGGAAGATTACTGACAATTGATTTAATTAAATTTGATAGAAAAATAAGACTACTCAGTTGATGTTTTGCTCTACTTTCTGATTCTCCTGAATCTCTTGAACGCTAATTTTAAATAAAAAATAGAGTAATAAAACAGTCAATAGTAATGTAAATATCAATATTCGTTATAGAGAGATATTTTAACTAATTCAACAAAATATTAATTCATCATCATATTTAAACATACCAAGTTCGATATTTCTTTATTGACTAAATTATTAACAGCGTTTAATTGCTGAGAAGATTTTGTAGATTTCAAAACAGTGAGAAATGTTTCATTAGTAATTGGATAATCACTACACTAAAAAAAATATAAATTAAAATTATTACAATATTGTTACTAGTTAAGTAATACTAAATGAACATATATAATTAGTAACATACCAGCCAAATAATTAATTGATTAATATAATCAGGGTTACTGAACATATTAATAGTAGTATTAAATAATTTATTAGCTATTATCTCACGCATTAAAATACGCATTGATCGACACTTGAAATCATTTTCAGGAGCAATGTGGTATAAAATTGCCTCAGAAATGTCTCTTAGCCATTCTAAATGAAAATCAATAGTTTTATTTGTAAAAATGTTATAAAATAATTTAAAAAATTGTGCCATATTTTTAATTTTTACTTTTTTCATAGTCCTCGTCTAAGCACACATTTGCATGAGATGTATTTAATCGGTCAACATCTTGTTCATTTTGAAAGAATATACTTTCTAAATCATTATCAATAGAAGATTTGGAAATTATGTGTTTTAATGCTTTTCTGTATATATTTATATGTTTTGCTGCCTCTTCTGTAAGTTGAGTACAAACAAATTGAAGCAGATCAATTTGTTGAAGTCTTTTTGACATTGAATAAATCGAATGACTAGCTGATTTATTTAATTGATATGGAAGAGTTTCATCATCACTTAATTTATCATACCTTAAATTGATCAAACGCAAATATAAAAAAATAATCTTCTTTTTTCCTCGCCTTAATCCCAACTACTTAGGGTTAGCCACACTTATTTTAAACTTTCAATTGACTCAATTTCCTACATCAGCTGTTCTCATATTGCATTCAATTACATCACTCCATATCATTTTTGGTCTATATTTTATAGTTTTCTATTACTCTTTCCTCATAACACGACCAAACCATCTAAGTATATTTTCTTTCATCTTATCCACGATTTACGCTACATCTTACTCCCTCTTATATGTTCTTTCCTTATCCTATCTTCTCTAGTCACTCCACTCATCTATCTAAGCATTCTCATCTGTGTTCTACTTTCTTGTTAACCATCCAACACTCTAAAGTTTAAAGTGTTGTATGGTGTATAATGTATGGTTTAGAGTCTAAACAATACATTATTAGCTGGTCTCACTACAGTCTTATAGAATTTACCTTTTAGCTTTATTGGAATTCTTTTATCTTATAACACACCAGACACTTCTCTCCATTTCAACCACCCACATTTATTTCTGTGTCTTACATCCTCGTTAATACCACCGTTCTTTTGCACAACTAATTCTAAATACTTAAAACTTTCTACCTATCATATCACGTCCTCGATTATAGTCATTAATCTCCTCATTTCACCTACCTCGTATTCTCCTACATCAAACTCATACTATATATACTCTGTCTTACTCCTACTTATTCTTAAACCCTTTGCTTTAAGAGCTGATCTTCACACCTATAGCCTTTGATTAATTTTCTCCCATTAACACTATATCATCAGCACCTGGGTGCACTCCTACTCTTACCCTAACACCTACTGTCACTCCTCCCACACTTTATACCCTGATACAAGTGCCATCAAACATATCCTCTATTATAATTATGTACCTTTTCTCATTAATGCCCACTTTAAAACCTTTCTCTGTACTCTTTCTTACACTTACTCCAAATCTATAATGCCATACACAGCTTTTACTTCTTTTTTTCTAAACTTTTCTATTAGTTGCCTCACACAAAATAATGGCTCCATTGTTCACTTACCAGGCATAAATCCAAACTGGTTTTTAATACTGATGTCTCATTTCTTATTCTTCTATCTATTACCTTTTCCCAAATTTTCATACTATAACTCATAAGCTTATAATGTGTCCTTTACCTTTAAATATCAGCACCACAATAATATTTCTCCATTCAATTGGAATTTTCCCTTCTAATAAGATTTTATTTAAAAGATCCTTTAAACACCTTATGCTAACCTCACCTAATATTTTCCATACTTCTACTGGCACTTCATCTAGTCCTACTGCTTTATTCTTTTCATTGATGTCATAGCTTCTCATACCATTACCTCACTAATTAATTCTACCATTCCCTCGTTCCATGAGATATCCTCTAATGTCTCTTTTGGATACTCCTCATTCAGTCATTTTTCAAAATACTTTTTTTTCTATCATCACTCGATAGCAGCCTCTTATCAACACAACTAGCAATTCTATTTCACACTGTCCTTTTATCGTCTTTAAAAACTCTTTTTTAATTTCCACCACCGGAACCTCCTTTTTACTTCTGTATTCTTTCTGTTTTTGTATATTCTCTTTTCGGTTCACCATAACTCCATTACCATCAGTCTATCTTGTGAAGTTACACTCTCTCACTTAGTATAACTTTACAAACTTTTACTCGCATTACTCTCTCTCTTTTCCACATAAATTAATCCATCTGTGATCTATTACTCCTTCTCTTATGAATTATATAATGTTCTTCACGCTTTCTAAAATAAAGATTAACCACAGTAAGTTCATACAATACTATGAAATCCAGGCAATAGGTATTTAGCATTTTTTTAAAATGATTTACCTACTACTGTTTGAGAATAAACCTTTAGCTAAACTCTAAACTATGGTATGGCAACAAGGTGGTGCTTTTGCTCATAATGCCGTAATGGTTCAACATCATTTAATCAAATCGTTTGGAAATAACTTGATAGACACAATTATATTTTATCACCACATAATCTTTATACAATTTGTATGGATTTTTTCATATAAAGACATGTTTTATATGTCTCCTCATGTGATTCTATGCACAGAATCATCATTTATGAATAATTACACTAAGCTTTTTTACATTTCAAAATACCTTTGTTATCACAATAAAGCTATTATCGATATATAAAATATTAATATGATCAATTTTGAAAACATATATAGAAATTTTTTTTAAAATCTCTTAAGTTTAAATGTAGCATAACTCGTTTAAAACTTATATAATTAAACTTAAATTGGTTTTCACCAAAAAACATTATTTTTTATGAGAACAGGAATATATAATAACAATATGGGATGAAGTTTGAAAATCATAAGTTGATACCAAACTCAGTTACAAAAAGTGAAAATGAATTTTTTTATTTTTTCATATAGTAGCTAGCAAAGATTCATTATGCCTGTATGTGTCCTTTACTTTTAAATATCAGCACCACAATAATATTTCTCCATTCAATTGGAATTTTCCCTTCTAATAAGATTTTATTTAAAAGTTTCTTTAAACACCTTATGCTAACACCACCTAATATTTTCCATACTTCTACTGGCACTTCATCTAGTCCTACTGCTTTATTCTTTTTCATTGATGTCATAGCTTCTCATACCATTACCTCACTAATTAATTCTACTATTCCCTCGTTCCATGAGATATCCTCTAATGTCTCTTTTGGATACTCCTCATTCAGTCATTTTTCAAAATACTCTTTCCACCTTTTTTCACATCATCATCACTTGATAATATTTTTCTCTTATTTTTGCGAGTCAATAGACGACTTAGAAATTTAAAAAAATAATAAAACTATAAAATATAAATTTACCATGGATAAACATAATCACGTAAAATTAAGTCCATTATATCAGATAATTGATGATCAATATGTTCTAAGCCACTCAGATGAATATGTCCCCCTTCATCATCATCTTGTTTGTCAATCTTTGAAGTAAAATATAATATATTTAATAATCAATAAAATTTAATTACAACAGTTAATGATCTAAGCTTAAAAAGCTTAACACTAAAATAATATTATTATTACCGTTTTAATATCAAATATACTATAAATTTCATTTTTAGGTTGTTCCTTTAATGATTTTAAATACTTAGCACAATCTTTTTCCACAGTAAAATAGGCAAAAAATACAACACTAAAAAAGGAAATAGTTACTTTAATTTATATAATATTTAAATATAGGCAGATTCCTTCTTAGACTAATTATAATATTACATTAAAATATAAGATTATAAATTAGCTTTTTTATAACATGGTGGGAGAAGTAATGTAGTTTCTAAATGCTTAGAAATAAAAATAAACAGTGTCTCTCTTTACCTCCAGTCTTTTTATTTAAGTGTTAATAACTTCCAAAATTATGTTTTAAAAAAATGTATCGACCAGTCATTTTTTTACTTGTAATAAAGCTAAACATGCAAGTTTCATTAAAAAATAAAATTAAAAATGACACAATTTTGAAGGAAGAAAGAGGTGTATAAAATTTCAATTTTAAATGTGTAGGATACATATAGCTTCTGAAAATAAAAAAATTATATTCTTTCCTATGCTTTTGAAGACATTGTGTGAGACATAGTTAGTGTATCACTCTGTATATAGTTAATGCATCAATTATATTATTGAAAATGATTGTAGTTTGCCATATCAGAAAAAGATTAAGGTAAAAACATGTAATTTAATTCAATATCTACCAGAAACAAATTTATACCCTAAATGCCAAAAGATATATTAAACAATCCATTTATTACCTTATTATAAAAGTGAATATTACAGACAAAGTAAGAGTAGTTAGCCACAATCCAAATGTTTTGATACATAAAAAAATAAGAAAAAATATCCAATAATATATTAACATGTTTCTTTAAAGAATTTTACAAGAATTTCATTTTGAAAAAAATTAGCTTTGTATGAATTTCGTTCAAATATTTTATTTTTAATGTTATTCCGGTGTAACATTGGAAAAATTTAACATAAGTAACATTACCAAGTATTAATGAAATATTACCGTGTAATATTATGAAGTATTCTATTTTTTAAACTTATTTATCAGTTCTTATCATTATTTAATTTAGTTATTCTAATCACCACGGTAGATGAATCCACCATGATGATAATCATAATCATTAAGGAACCTTGAATGTCAGACAGAAGTGTTCAGTTCCATAATTTTTATTCTTAATAACTTTATTAATTAGAATAAAATATTCTACTTTATTAGGGACAGATTAACGAACCTACATTAACCTACATTCGTGACATAATTGTAAAAAGAAATAATTTTACCATAATGTGTTTTTGAAATTTTGTCATTTTTTTTCACTTTTTATTCTTAAAACTTCCATAACTTTTTCAAAAATCAACAAATCAACATAATTTTTTTTATATTAAAACCTTAAATATTTCCCTTTTATTTGATATTATTTTTTTGAAAATCCAACACTTTGTCTGCTCACTGAGGGGATTTAAAATAGTAACTTTTTTACAAAAACTAACTTTTTCAACTTAACTTTTGAAAAGGATGCGGAAATACTGCGTCCTTTAAACATATACCAAATGAAAACTTATGTCATGTTCTATAAAATGAAAACAAAAATTTGTCCCGACACCTTATCTTCTGCATGCAAACGGCTACCATAGTTAAAAATATGGTATTTTTGTATTAAAATTTTCAATTTTTAATTTTCAACTTTAAAATGCTATAACTTTTCGAAAAATGTATGTATTGGCACAAATTTTTTCTTTCTAAATACATTATAAATACATCTTTTATTTGACATACTTTTTATTTAAATTGGACAATTTTCCTTTATACAGGGGGCTTTCAAAACTTGAAAAATATGTATAAAAAGTAGATCTTTTTCAACATAACTTTTGAAAATGTTCCGGAAATACTGCGTCCTTTAAACATATGTCAAATTAAAACTTACAATAAATACTATAAGTTCAAAAAAAAAAATTGTCCTGACATCTTTTCTTCTATAGGAAAATGGCCATCGAATTTAATGAAACTTAAAATTTTTATATAAAAATCACTGTTGGATGGACAATGGACTAGCGAATGGTTTCAAAAAATATTCGATTAGTTCTATCTAAAATTTTTATTAAGTACACTTAATTATAACGAGAAGATAATTAAGGAATAATTAAAATAAATTATTATACAATTAATAATAGTAAAAAGTACCATTTTACTAGTATTTCAGAAGTTATAGCATTTTAAAAAATGAACTGGGGTGGGTCGCAGGTATATATTAGAGTGGTTCTTATTTTATTAACTTTCATTGATCTATCTTCATACCCACCAATTTTGTTTTTTACTATATGAAAGTTATTTGTGTAAAATTTGGTTTTGATAACTTACTCTTTTCAAGCCTGAATCGGGGTTGAAAATTCGCTCAAAAAGGTAATTTTTCAGTTTTTGATTATTATTTTTAAATCTAATACACTTAGCGTAACAATTTATAGGATATAAATTATAAATTTTAATATTTTCTTCTAAAATGGTTTTTACACAAATTTTCTAAAATTATTTTTACTTGCTCAAAAAAAAATATCTAAGGTTTTAGTAGAAAAGAAAACCCAGCACAGTGGGGTGGCGGCACAGTGGCGTCGTGGCATAGTTGGGTCCAGTATAGATGATATCTGACAGTGATTAAAATCACTATCATAAAAAGCGCTTCGATGCAAATCTGTAGATAGTGTTTAATTTAAAAAAAAAAATTTGTTAAAATAGCACATTTTTGAATAGCCATTTGCGCATAGAAGATAGGTCGTCGGGACAAATTTTTTTTTTTTATTTTATAGTACATAAAATAAGCTTTAATTTGATATATGTTTAAAGGACGCAGTATTTCCGGAACATTTTCAAAAGTTCAGTTGAAAAAGATCTATGTTTTTTACAATATTTTAAGTTTTGAACGCCCCCTATATAAGGGGAAATTGTCCAATTTTAATAAAAAGTATGTCAAATGAAAGATGTACTTATAATGTATTTAGAAAAAAAAAATTTGTGCTGATATATACATTTTTCAAAAAGTTATAGCATTTTTAAGTTGAAAATTTAAAATCGAAAATCGAAAATTTTAACACAAAAATAGTGTTTTTTTAACTACGGCAGCCGTTTAAATGTAGAAAAAAAAGTGTCGGGACAAATTTTTTTTTTTCATTTTGTAGTACATAAAATAAGCTTTAATTTGATATATGTTTAAAGGACGCAGTATTTCCGGAACATTTTCAAAAATTAAGTTGAAAAAGTTATTTTTTGTAAAAAAGTTACTATTTTAAATCCCCTCAGTGAGCAGAATAAGTGTTAGATTTTCAAAAAAAATTATATCAAATGAAAGGGAAATATCTAAGGTTTCAATACAAAAAAATATTATTTTTATTTGTTCATTTTTGAAAAAGTTATGGCAGTTTTAAGTACAGAAAACATCCCAATAAAATGTAATTTTTATCGCAAACATTACATTTTTTTTTAAATTTTCGACAGCCATTTGCACATAGAAGATAAGATGTCGGGACAAATTTTTTTTTTTCATTTGATAGTATATAACATAACCTTTGATTTGATATATGTTTAAAGGACGCAGTATTTCCGGAACATTTTCAAAAGTTCAGTTGAAAAAGATCTATGTTTTTTACAATATTTTAAGTTTTGAACGCCCCCTATATAAGGGGAAATTGTCCAATTTTAATAAAAAGTATGTCAAATGAAAGATGTACTTATAATGTATTTAGAAAAAAAAAATTTGTGCTGATATATACATTTTTCAAAAAGTTATAGCATTTTTAAGTTGAAAATTTAAAATCGAAAATCGAAAATTTTAACACAAAAATAGTGTTTTTTTAACTACGGCAGCCGTTTAAATGTAGAAGAAAAAGTGTCGGGACAAATTTTTTTTTTTCATTTGATAGTACATAAAATAAGCTTTAATTTGATATATGTTTAAAGAACGCAGTATTTCCGGAACATTTTCAAAAGTTCAGTTTTTTACAATATTTTAAGTTTTGAACGCCCCCTATATAAGGAGAAATTGTCCAATTTTAATAAAAAGTATGTCAAATGAAAGATGTACTTATAATGTATTTAGAAAAAAAAAATTTGTGCTGATATATACATTTTTCAAAAAGTTATAGCATTTTTAAGTTGAAAATTTAAAATCGAAAATCGAAAATTTTAACACAAAAATAGTGTTTTTTTAACTACGGCAGCCGTTTAAATGTAGAAAAAAAAGTGTCGGGACAAATTTTTTTTTTTCATTTTATAGTACATAAAATAAGCTTTAATTTGATATATGTTTAAAGGACGCAGTATTTCCGGAACATTTTCAAAAATTAAGTTGAAAAAGTTAATTTTTGTAAAAAAGTTGCCATTTTAAATCCCCCCCAATTAGCAGGTTAAGTGATAGATTTTCAAAAAACTGATATCAAATAAAAGGTAGATATCTAAGGTTTTAGTATAAAAAAAAATTATGTTGATTTGTTGATTTTTCAAAAAGTTATAGCATTTTTAAGTTGAAAAATTAAAATCGAAAATCGAAAATTTTAACACAAAAATAGTGTTTTTTTAACTACGGCAGCCGTTTAAATGTAGAAGAAAAAGTGTCGGGACAAATTTTTTTTTTTCATTTTATAGTACATAAAATAAGCTTTAATTTGATATATGTTTGAAGGACGCAGTATTTCCGGAACATTTTCAAAAATTAAGTTGAAAAAGTTTTCAAAAGAAAAAAAGTTGTCATTTTAAATCCCCCCCAATGAGCAGGTTAAGTGATAGATTTTCAAAAAACTGATATCAAATGAAAGGTAGATNTAGATTTTCAAAAAAATGATATCAAATGAAAGGTAAATATCTAAGGTTTTAGTATAAAAAAAAATTATGTTGATTTGTTGATTTTTCAAAAAGTTATGGAAGTTTTAAGAAAAAAAAGTGAAAAAATTTCGAAAATTAGCGATTTTTAAATTTGTAACTTTTTTGGATATTTCCCCCATTTGCGTGGAACGAGGAAATTTTTTCAATTTTTAAGGGTAATGTCTTCAACTAGATACGATTTGTGATCTTTTGACGTATTTTTGAAAGAAATCGGTCCAGTGAGAGCAGAGAAAAAGTGGCAACAGACACAAAAAAAAACACATCATAGTAAAATTAATACCTTCTCCGCTTCGCATCGAAGCTAAAAAAAAACACGTTTTCGTAATTGTTTTAAATTTTTTTTTGGAAAGGATTCATAATTCAAAAAAAATCAAATAACGTTTTTTATAGAAGATATCACGGTGATTAATATTACTTCTGTACAATTTCTGCGTACAATTAAAATTTCAGACACTGGAAAAGTATAACTGAAAACTGTCATTTTTTAAAAAAAATTAAGTGAAACTGATTTTTCTTATTTTTACGAAAAATATTAATTTTACAAAAAAATAATGTATTACCTTATTATTTGTTCACATTTAGTTCTATAAAAATTGTTCATTGTGTTTTTGGCGAAACTTCAAAAATAAAGAGCGTACACTCAAAAAAAGATAATCCACCCCATTTTTGAAGAACTTCAACCCCTTTGAAGCACGTGAAAAATTTTACCAGTTTCATTTTTTCAGTGAACCTAACGAAATTTTGAGCCCATGACTCTGAATTTCTTAAAAAAAAAATTTTCTTCTATAACTAAGGACCACCCTAATGAGGAGTCCTGAACAAAACTTTTGTAGATGTTGAGTTCCTATGCAAAATACTACAAAGTCAGCAATTGTTACCGAAAATTGTATGATTTTTGACTTTAATGCCCAATATTCCCTAGAAATCAAGTTTTCGGATATTTACCATCTTAAAGTACATTAAATTTACTTTGACCTTGTATAAGTATTTAATGAAGTAAGGTTTTTTGAGCATTATGAGATATTGAAAAGAAAAAAAGATTTGGTATTAATTTCTTTTCATCAGTTTTTAATCAACATTTGAAAACAGTTTGACTCTCAGGTATAACAACAAAAAAGTTTATTATGTTATTTAATCAAATATTTAAATTTTTTAAGGTGGTAACTTCATAAAAAAAACCCCTACTATTGAAAAAAATATTTAACTAGATAGGTATATAAATAAATCTATAATAAAAAGAAATTCGGATTCTTTTTTATGGTGGAATTAAAGGAACATGATGTTTCCTAACTTATTTGATCTTTTATTATTGAGATTATGTGTTCCTTCAACTTCTGTTCCGTGCGAACGGAAATTTTCTAAAGCGGGATACACAATTACTGAAAGGCGTAATAGACTTACAGTTAAAAATTCAGAGATGTTACTGTTTTTAAATAGTAATTTTTTATTAAAAATATAATTTTAGAAGACGTTTTTTATGTAGTTAAATTATACATAATTATTATGTTATAAATGATTTAAAATTTTAAGAAGAGATTGAAAATATTTTTTAAAATAAATATTGTTTTAAAGATATTTTTAATTTTGTAATATACTTATATAATTAAAAAAAACAGTATGTTATTTAACATACTGGTGAACAACATATTACTTTTATACTTTAATAATTGATTATATCTCATATTAACTTGGCCAAAATACGGTACGGTCTAAAAAATACGGTTATTTATTTATTCTGTAATAAGGTATCTATTTTTTTCATTAAAATTTAATATTATGCCTATCAATATTTCTGTATTATTACTGCTAAAAAAAAATTCTTATCTGAACATTTCCGAAAAGCATTCGCGCCTTTTAAATATTACCTAATAAGTAAATGAGATAGACGTATTTATTGATTTATTATTGGTACTGTACCTACTAACGTCCCGCTTAGGTACAACTGTTTATATGATCAATAAATACTGGTTTGGTTTTGGTAATGGGTCGCAATGAAGGTACTCAATTACAAAAAAGTAAAAATACCGGTGTACCGAGTACTTTGGAATCGTTACTTTTAAGTAACTGTACCGAAAGGAACGGTTCCACTAAAGGAACGAAAATTCCCACCACTACTTATGATATATTAAGCATAGGGCCCGTTTATCAAGGTTATAGGACAACCCTGCTCCAGTGATTAAAATTTAAAAATATGTTCGCTCAAATAAAAAGGAGATAAGAGATAAATATCGAGAAGCAAAAATTCTTATTGACTCTTCCATTATAAGTATTTTTGCACTTAATAAAATATTTATATCCTATTAAAAATATGTAACTAAAGAAGCAATACAAAATTTTTCATGTTGATTTTTCACACCCTCAAAAATTCTTGAATTTTGAAGTTAAAGTATTAACACATATTTTTATGAGTGAATGTTCATAATACTACTATTAACAACAGATTATACACTTAATTATCAAATTGCCAAATTGGTACAATCCGTATATTCGAGTATGCTTTATGAAACTTTACGTACAAAGGCCCATGATTAAAAAACCTGTATTTATGGATTTTTATTTCATTATAAGTGGTATATAAAATTATATTAATTATATTTTATTTAATTAATTATAAATAAATAACAATATCTTTGAAAAATATTACTTTTTCTTATCATTATCAAGTTGAAAATAGTATAAGATATAAATTTAATAAACATCAATTACACTGTCATTCGTTGGCAACAGACAATAGATAACAATTCGAAATATTGTATTACTGTGTTCGAAATTCCCTTCTTCTCTTTTAGTGCAAGTTTTAAATTACAACTTGCTTTATTATTAATTTTTAGCTATTATTCATTCAGTATACATTCAATGAATTAACATTACTAATTGGACGTTTAATGATGTTTATATGTTCAATGTCAAAAAGGTGTCGTTTATAATCTAGACATGGGTAGCATTTTGTCACGGTTTAAGGTGAGAAGTTAAAAAAAAAAAAATATTTTTACCTTTATAAACAATATTAACATATTATATGTAGTTTGCCTAAGTAATTTATAAATTTATTACCGAAAAAAGAAATCTCTTAATAAATTATGAAATCTAATCATAATAAACTAATTTCTTTAATATGGTAGTTATAAATAATTATCAAAAACCAATTTTGACAGTTTTTATTAGTATTTCGCTATTATAGGTAACTTTCATAAAATATTTAAATAGCTTCATTTTTTAAAATAACGTTTAAATAAAATAATAAGATAACATCAAAAAAATCAATTAATCTATCATAAGTCAAGACAACACTATGAAAGTTTTGTTTCTTATATTTGAAAGTATAAAACTAAAGATTACTTTAAAAGTTATAATTATGGAGTTCTAATATGTTATATTTGCTTCAATGAACAAAATTATTTTTTCAATATATTCAAAATATTTATCTTGGACTAGTATTATATTTTATTTAATATTTTATGGTATTGTTTAATAATTATATTGAATGTTAAGTAAATAATTTTCTTATTACTTCATTGAAATTAAAATTGTTAAAAAGATTTATGCTTAAAACTAATAATATTTAAATCATCAGTGTAGTGTAATAACATTTTGAGTTTCTTATAACATAATTCTTAAGTTGGTTTAGTGAAAATGATGGTTTTTCATATTTTATAAAACCAATAAAAGTTTCCATTTACAGAATTTTGTTATTATTTCATTGAAATAAATGACAACATATCTAGATTAACTTATTGCCATGAACATTATTTAAACTATACTGTAAATCTATGTTGCTTAATACCAAAAGTTTAGGTGCTTATACACATGTAATAATAAATAAATATATAATAATTAAATTATTATTTTTAGAGAAAAAAAAATACAAAGCAAGTATTGGAGTCTTTGGAAAATGTAAGCAATTTTTACTATACATTATTATAGTTTATAACATCATAAATTTCTTTACTCAGTAAATATAATTTTTTTTATAATTTTAGATGTCTATATATCTAATTGAAGTATTTAAAAATGTACTATTAAACTATACATAATGTGATTGATTAATTATGAGTTACACAATTTCTTTAATAGTATAAAACCTATTATAATTTTGTTTAGAATATTTATAGATATATTCATGTTGACAAGGTTCTATTCTCTCACCAAGTCTATTTATTGTATATTCAGAAAATTGCATTGTTTGAAAAAATACAGAACTTATTATCAAAGATGATAAACATTAAACTCATAAAAGAATATTAATGATAAACATATATCTTGTAGCATTTACACAGGGAAGACATGAACATACAGTAAAAATAAAGAGGAGGCATTAAAACATTTGAGACGTGGTGCTTCAAAAATGAACTCTGCAATCAGTTTGAAATGTCAGCATAAAACTGAAGACCTAGATATATATATTCTAAATAATACAATAATTCATGAAAGCTTCAAATACATTCATATTATAGTTTTTTCTTTTCAGAATTTATTATTTATGTTCTATAATTTTCAAAAAATATTTATATAACTCCCTCTACTCCTTTAAAAATAGTATCGACATAAGTTTTTTTAATGGAAACATGTTTAACTGACTTAAAATAAAAAAATGACTGGTCAATAACAACTTTTGAATTAGTATTTTAAAATATATGAGCACTTATACTAGGGCAGAAGAAGTAGTGAAGTTCATAAATTCCTAGATATTAAAATAAACAGATCTGAGTTTCGCCTCCAGTCATTATAGTAAAGCATTAATAATTTCGCTATACTGGTTCAAAAGTTGTTATTGATTATTCATTTTTCTATGTAGATAATTTTATGATTTTTAAGCTAATTAAACATATGTTACCATTAAAAAACTTAAGTGATACTATTTTAAAAGAGTAAGAGTTGAGAATTTTTCTTTTTTAATTATATATAAAACATAAGATTTTATTAACTTCTGAAAAGAAAATGTTAAATGTTTTCAAAATATTGTATGAGGCATAGTTAATCAATCATTCTGTATTATGAGTATGAGGTTGGGTGTGGTTTTGGATGGAAAATAATTTATGTATCATATTATTTTCCATCTAAGAAATTTATCTAAAAATTTCGTTTTTAAGATTATAGTAGGCAACTATATAAATGTTGAAACTATTTAAATTAAAATAGCGCACTTTATATATTATAATCCCATAGCTGTCTCTACAATTAGTGTTTGTAAAGCTTAGAATCTACTTTTGAAATTTCCAAAATTCAAATATTTAACCCTGACTGTATAGAAACAATTCAATTAAAATTTGGAGGTTTTTTATGGTTAAAATTATTCCCCTCATTAAAAAAATTTTGAATGATGGTATAATTTTTTTGAGAAGGAGGTTAATTATAAAAAGGGAATAAATCTAAAGCCCTTTTCTTTCCATTAAGCCATTCTGAAAAAATGATCTGAACATACCTATAGTGTCTTGTTTTTTAAAGAAAAAAAATATTATTTTTATGTATTTTAGGAAATTATGACCATTGAAAAAATGACATCCAAGTCATCTCCAATCAATTATTATAAGATAATATTTCATTCAGCGCTTTTATACAGTTTGATTACTATACTATATTATTTTGGTATTTTTCAATACAAAATATTAGAAAACAACTATATGATGGCTGCTTTAGCTGCTTATCCTATTTTGTAAGTTTTCTAAATTTTTTATGAAATTTAATTGGGATCATGATTAGTAATTTTCATGTATTTATTTTAGAGCACTATACTACTATAAATTTGTTGTTTGGAACTATAATCGTAAAAAGGAACATTACGAAAAAAAATTAGCTGAATTGAAAAATGAAAAAAAAAAAATTCTAGATGAGGTTATGGAGAATGAAACATTTAAAGTAGCTAAAGAAATTTTAGAAAAATATGCACCTCACCAACTTCATACTATGAATACTCAAATTCTAGTGAATAATTTTTTTAACTTTTTTTTTTCAATATAATTTTTTTTAACTATTGGTAAAAAAATATAGATTAACAATCAAAGAAGCTTATTAAACACTCCTAATAGACCTCAAATCGTTCCTAATAGAACACATCAAAGAGTAACACCAAATGTTGGTCAAATACCTGCAATAATGTCTTCTACAATAAAACCTAGTAAGTTTGTATGATTTAACTGAATATTTTGAATAAAATACAAAACTTTTTTGGGAAAAAATATTTTTAAAAGGTAAAAATAACCACTTTTATAATATTATATGTATTTTAAATTATTAGTTAAAAATATTAATTCGAGAAATTAAAGATTTCTTGTATTGAATATTATTAAAATCAAAAAAAAATTTATTCAAGGTATATTTAATAACTTTTAATAAATTTTCAACCATTCTTATTATATTGTTCTATTTTTGACAGTCTTTTTAATTTTATTTGAATTTGTTCATGTTTTAACTTCTATGCAAAGATGAGTGAGAATGTATTAATTTAATTTCCTTTTTTTTTTTTGTGTGTGTGTGTCTGATAGCTATTTTTCTCAATTCTCACCAAACTTTCAAATTTCTTTCAACGATATTTCAAAAGATCACAAATCGTATCTATTCGAAGACATTACCCTCAAAAATTGAAAAAATTCACCTCGTTCCCCGTAAATGGGGAAATCTCAATAGGGGTTTCAACTACAAAATTAAATAATTTTACTTTATAATATATTAATTTTTTATCTTAATTTGTATGTTAATAATAGTTTATAAAAATTTTTGGTAACATGTTGTTATATAAATCATAAATATAAAAAAAAATGATTTTTATTTTCACCTGAATTAAACAAAAAAATTTTACAACACACTTCATTAAGTAGATTTTAGCTTCGATGCGAAGCTGAGAAGGTATTGGTTTTACTAAGATGTGTTTTTTTTTTTTTTTTTTTTTTTTTTTTTTGTGTCTGTTACCACTTTTTCTCAGCTCTCACCGAACCGATTTCTTTCAATGATACGTCAAAAGATCACAAATCGTATCTAGTCGAAGACATTACCCTTAAAAATTGAAAAAAATTCCCTCGTTCCCCGTAAAAGGGGGAAACCTCCAAAAAAATTACAAATTTAAAAATCGCTAATTTTCGAAATTTTTTCAATTTTTTTTACTTAAAAGTGCCATAACTTTTTCAAAAATAAACATATCAATATAATTCTTTTTTATATAGATGCATAATATCATTACCTTTCATTTGGTATATTTTTTTCATAAATTTAACCCTTAACCTGCCCACAAGGGGGGATTTAAAATGACAACTTTTTCACAAAAAATTAATTTTTTTAACTTAAATTTTGAAAATGTTCCGGAAGGTCTGACACTTTTATATATATCTTAAATTAAAGCTAATGTAATATACTTTATCATGGGAAAAAAAAATTTCGGACTTTATTTTATCTTCAAGGTGAAAATGGCTACCAAATGCTATTATTGTGTGAAAATTCTCAATTTTATTTTTTACATTTTTAACATTATAATGCTATAACTTATTGAAAAGTGTAATGATCAATATAATTTTTTTATATAACTATTTTCTAATAATCTCTTTTTTATTCGACATACTTTGTCTTAATCAGGATATTAATAAGGAACTAGCAGTTTATGAAGCTTTTGGAATAATCCACCAATTTTTTAAAATTAAACACTATCTAAAGATTTGCATCGAAGCGGTTTTTTTTTTATAGTGATTTTAATCACTGTCAGATATCATTATACTTGATCCAACTATGCCACGTCACCACTGTGCCGCGACCCCCTTGTGCTGGGTTTTTTTTAATTGGTTTTTTAGTTAAAGTAAATCATTAAAATTAATTATGTTCTGAATATAATTTCAATTGTGGAATATTTTTAAACACCAAAAAATAATACAATTTTTTATTATTAAAAAATTTTTAGTAAAATATGTAGTATATAAAATATACATAACACTTTTAGTCAATAGTTATTGTGATAAAATTTTGTGACTTTTGGTTTTTTTTTACCTTTTAGAAATATTTTTTGATCATTTTTTCCTATAGTATTTTCTCTCTGGACGTTTTTTCTGGTTACTGAATATTTCATCAATGAATTTTTATTCTTCTTCTTTACTGGCATTTACAACTCTATTAGAATTTTTGCTGCCATCACTATATCCCTCCATCACTCTCAATCTTACACAAATTCCTTTCATTCTTGCACTCCCAGGGCTTTAAGATCCTCTTCTACTACTTTTAGCCACCTTTCCCTCAGTTTGCCTCAAGGCCTTCTCCCTTTCGGTTTCCATTCCATAACTGCTTTGATGATTTCTTCTCTGCCTCTTCTCATAATATGGCGCAGCCACTGAATTCTTTATCCTTTTACGTAACTAGTAACTGGTGCTAGGCCCAGTTTTTCCTGAAGTTACTTGTTGAACTTTTCTCTCCAATTATTTGTCCTTTTATCACAAACTGGTCTGCATATCATCCTCCATATTTTATTTTCAAAAGTTTTAAGTCATCTCTCTATCACACTTGTCTTTAATATTCTCCTAGGCATTCTTCTCCGTATAGTATTACCGATTCAGTAACACCTTAGAAAACACTTTATATGCCGTATTTAGAAGGAATATACCTCTGTAGTTACAGCAATCTGTTTTGTATCTCTTGTGCAGAGGTACGATAATGGCTTCCTTCCATCTATTTGACATCTGCTCTTCATGCCAAGTCTTCTGACAAACTTTAAATATTAAGTATCATACTTTTTTTTCACCATATTTTATCATCTTCACCTGGATATTGTCTGACCCAGGTGCTTTCCAGTTCTTGAAACTGTCTATTGATCTATCAACTTCTTTCTGCATTATATCACTTATTGAATGTTCAGCTTTTTGATATATTGTCTTTCCCTTGGGGTTCGCTGGTATATCACTATTGAATAATCTATAAAATATTCTCTTCATCTTTCAGCCTTTTTTTCGGAATCCATGAAAATAGCACCTTTATTACCAGCTTCTTTATTTCAAATCACTTTAGGCTCAAGTTGAAGTATTGATATTTCTTAACCCTGAAAAAGCTCCTTGAGTTGCCTTGTAAACAATTTCTCTCTCCTATCTCCAATAATCAATTTAATAAGTTCTACTATTCCTTTTGTAAAATATACCTGCAACTTCTTCATTCCCTTTTGTAAACTTCTTTTGTATTTTGATCTTGTAACATCAGATACTCTCTAGCTTGTTTTTGCTTTTCGACAAACTTCATTAAAACATTTGTTATTTTTATTTTATATAATACCAATTTCTTTTTCTCCAATTTCCTTTATAATTTTACTGGCCTTAGTCCAGTCCCATTTTATGTCATGTAGATTGAGGTTTTTGATGTTCTTGTCCATCTTTTCCATGAATTTCTATTGGATTTCTAGATCTTTAAGTGCCTCTACGTTGAGATAGTGTTTCTTGGCAGCTTAACATATCTTATATTAAGATCTTTTTAAAAAGTCTTCTTCATGTTTCCTCATTTGTGTCCGTAGGAGCTTGTACAGTGTACAATGTACACATACTAATATAAGATCTATTAGCCTGAAATTTATTCTCAACACTGTGATTCTTTCCAAGACTGGTCTAAATTCTTTAATATGCTGCACCAATGACTTTTGTACAGCAAAACCACTTCCATATCTGTGCCTGTATACCATTTCTGAGAAATATATTTCATAGTCATTTACTCTTAATTGTTTGTCCTGTTCCTTTCCATTTTATCTCTTGCAGTGCTGCCTCTTTAATTCCATATATCGTTGAGACCTCCACTAGATTTTGACATGTTCCAGTCCTGTAGAGGCTTAATAAGTTCCAAATTGCGATCTTAAAATTTACTTACAATTTCCGAGTCCAAAAGTAAAACTATTTTTTTGTGTCTGAGGCATACTTTGTGATGGTGGTAACATAAAAACGTGTTTTTTCTAAGATAGGGTTATCAGCCCTATGCTAAATCCCCAACCTGGAGTACCAAACAATACCAACTACATAAGGTTAGCGTAAGGCTATTGCATTGTATATGATGTACATTGGGCAATGGGCGTGCAACTCTCCCTACACCTAAGGATTTTTATTAAAATTTAAATAAAATTTTACTTATATTTAATTTAATTTTAGGATTATCTCTTCCAAGACCAGTGCTTCCCAAAGAGCGTACTATATTTGATAGATTAGCTGATATAATATTAGGAGATGGTCCTCAAAATCGATATGCTTTAATATGTAGAACATGTGGATCTCACAATGGAATGGCACGAAAAGAAGAATTTGAATATTTGGGTATGTTTATCAATTACATATATATGTCAGAAGCATTATCAGGATTTACTGAGCACCTAATATTTTTTAATTTTTAAGTCTATTAGGAGTTTTCTTCATTATCATAGTCTCCTTAGCCTCATCCCCAATTATTTGGGATTGACTCTACGTTATAATGATTTAACAGGATTGTTTACCTGATACTACCTTATTATGTCTGAGAGAGCCAGTAAGGGATATGTTGTGTGTCACTGTTAAAATTCGGGAAATTATAGCTTACAACACAGCTGAACATCAGCACTAAGGAGACAGAAAATGTATCATATTACGCTCTTAAAATTGTTAGCAGCAATTTTCTTGTTACTTTTATAATATCATTCTAAATTTACTTTAAAGTTAACTCTTTTGTTCAGTTATTTTACCATAAAATGGCTATTTTAAAAGAAACTTGTACTAGTAGTAAAAAATTGTTATTAAAATAGAGAATTTTTAATAATGAACATTTTTAACTTTGATAATAATTGGTCAAAATAAGGTTCTTAGTAAACATGCAGCTTGTGAAAAATTACTAAGTTTTAAAAGATCTGCAAAGGTATCTGAAATAATATCAAAAATACATTTCCACCAAATTTTTGTTAACTAAGAAATAGTGTTTAAAACATTTATACCATTGCTTTATTATCTGTAGTCATAACTGTATGAAGCATGTATACGATATTGCTTGTGACTCATGAAGTGGAAGTCTTGAAGAATAAAGTGGTGTAATTTTTTGGTTATTTAATTATATTTAATAGTTCAGAATTTAAATCCTATAGTTGTTTCTAACACAACCTACATATGCATTTATAATTTTATTGAAGTTTTAAAATTATCAACTTGTTCATATTGTATCAAATTTTTTATTTATAGATACTAAATGATATAAATAAATACATATAAATTGATGATATATATAATGAGATAATTATACTTAAAAGTAAAACAATAATTAGAGATTTATTATACAGAGTGATTATTTATCTGTGACTCATGCAACATCTATAAAAATAAAAAAAATATTATAGTTTTTTTCTTTTCAGAATTTATTATTCATGTTAATTTAATATTTATATAACCCCCTCTACTCCTTTTAAAATAGTATCGACATAAGTTTTTAATGGAAACATGTTTAACTGACTTAAAATAAAAAAATGACTGGTCAATAACAACTTTTGAATTAGTATTTTAAAATATATGAGCACTTATACTAGGGCAGAAGAAGTAGTGAAGTTCATAAATTCCTAGATATTAAAATAAACAGATCTGAGTTTCGCCTCCAGTCACTATAGTAAAGCATTAATAATTTCAATATCCTGGTTATATAAGGGTAATAAAAGAATGAAAGGAGGATAAAACCATTCTTTTTTAAGTTAAAACATATGATTCTATTAACTTTTTATTAAGAAAAAATAATAATATAAAATCTTATATTTTTAAAGATATTGTAATAAATAATGGTTAAACAATCACTCTGAATTCTTTTAATTTATGTATATGTATATATATAAATGTATATATTTTTAGCTTATCGTTGTGCTTATTGTTCACAATGGAATCCATCATTAAAACCCAGACCTGCTTTATCTCAATTTGCAATTTCTTATGATAAAAAAGATCTAACAAATAATAGCCAATCAGATAATTCTGAAACAATTGAAGAAATTACTAGTGAAGAAAATTCTAAGAGTGAACAAAAAGGTAAAAATATTTATAATTGTGTACTTTATTGCGTGTCTACATCGCAGTACTATCAATGTACGATAGGTAATAAATGCATTAAAGATACATTTAGAAGTGATCAACTTTATACTTAACCACCAATTTGAGCACACTTTACTGTAATTATATAAACATTTATTTAACTGGGAATCTTTTAATTAAATTTACACTAAATTTTTTTTTTTATTATTATTTTTAGTTAGTTTGAATACCAAAATTTGTTTTTCTAGAGAATTCTAGATATTTTTTTAACACGCCTATATTAGTTTTTATCATGCGAATATAACCAAGTGAAATAAATATTAACAATAAATATTATTTACATGGTCAAATATGTTTAGAAATGTGCATTCAAGGAATAAAATTTTTATACTAACAAATATCATAACTCTGATAAAATTATAAACATAGTATTATTATTAATAAAAAAAAATAAACACAACCAGCATAGTGGGGTTGTGGCATAGTTGGATCAAGTATAATTATATCTGACAGTGATTAAAATCACTATCATAAAAAATTATTTGATGCAAATCTGTAGATAGTGTTTAATTTTAAAAAATTGATGGATTATTCCTGAAGCTATATGATATCCTATTTCCTTATATATAAATATATATTATATTATAATATATTTTGTGTCTGTTAGCACTTTTTTTAAGCTCTCACCGAACCGATTTCTTTCATTGATATGTCAAAAGATCATAAATCGTATTTAGTCGAAGACATTACTCTCAAAAATTGAAAAAATCTCTTTCGTTCCCTAAAATGGGGGAAACCTCCAAAAAAATTCCAATTTTTTGATGTATCGTTGAAAGAAATCAGTTTGGTGAGAGCTGAGAAAAAGTGGTAACAGACACAAAAAAAAATTTTAAAAAAACACATAGTAATATTAATACCTTCTCAGCTTCGCATCGAAGCTAATAAAATACACTGAAGTTTAAACAATAACAATTTTAATGGTTTACTAATAATAAAATAAAAACAAACTTTCAAATTGATTATAGCCATTGGAGTAGTTATGAGGGAATGATTGGAATAGATTCCCTACGAAACAAAATTATTTACGTTGTGGAGATACAATTTTTTTCTTTTGGATGGGGAAGTGAATAATTGTCTTATTTATATAACCCCTCAGAATAAAACCATAACTATGTCACTGATTATAGCTTGTTAAACTATTAAATAAAAATAAACAATCAAAGTATCAAATGCATTTCTAAATTACTAATATTATGGTAGATATTATTAAGATATTAAACATTTATTTTAGGCTTTAAAAATGAAGATTCAAATTTAGACAGTTCTGAACCAATAGTTGAAGAACCAGAAGATTCACAGCAAATAGATGTTTCAATTAATAATCTTGATGACGAAAAAAAAGAAAAATTCGAACCCATTGGTAACTATATTATTTGTGAATATGTTACATTAATTTAGTTAAGTGTATATTTTAACTAAAAATATTAATTGTGTTTTAGAAAAATCTACAGCATTAGTAGAGGCATCATAGATTTTAAAGTGGAGTATTTTACCAAAATACATGTTCAGTTTGAGTAATATATAGAAATTGTTTTTTTGTTTAATCGAGAGATTCCTACTTAGACTTCAAGAATATATAGAAATAAGACTTGATGTATTGAAATTTATAATTACTCCAAGAAATGCTCTATTAATGTTTTAAAAAAGCTTTTAAGTTATGTATTTACATAAATAGTTAACAGGGTATTGATTATATTATTATGTAACAAGCATTTATTCATTAAGCATTGGATAATATTTTGTGTTAATATACATTTGTAACAAAATATCTTTATTTATTTCAATTTTTACTTACAAAATATATTTTACTAACATGTGTAAATTTCATATTGAATAATTTTTTTAATTTTTCATGTTACTTTATTCTAAAAAATGATACTCTAATGTAGTTCTTATTCTTAATTAATGATGCCTATTTTAAAAATCACTATTTACAAAAAAAAAAAATGTTTCAAACAATTTTTATAAATGTATAGTCTAAAACTTTGATAATGTGTTATTTACATAGGGAGTTAAACTTTTTGGGGCTGTTACAAATAAACTCAAGCAACTATAATTGAATAATTATAATAAATATAAATTGAACAATTAGAAATAGTTGTTGATAATTTTTTTATTACTATACAGTGTGATTGATTTGTTAGGTTCATTTTTCAATATCTCAACAATGGCAAAATTTTACATAACCCGCACCTCTCTCAGTCTATATATACAGAGTGATTTTTTTATCATAACCCACTCAATTACTTACAGAATAAATATAATTTAAAACATTTTATTTTGTTATCTTTAGTTACACATTATTCTTGAATTATTAACTATGTAATACTTTTTAAGTTCATCCTTTATGCCTTGTAAGGATGTCAACTTTATTTTTTTAAATGGAAACACATATTTTGAATTTAATAAAATGTTTGAGTTTTTAATTTAATAGTAAAAGACATTTGAATTTTTAATATAACATTTTTCGTTTATTAGACATAAAAAATTAAAGTTTCAAATTTTTGAGTTAATGTACACATATAGTACTCAAGGTATTACAAATACAGGTAGCTAATTGGTTTTTATGACATTGCTGTTACAGTCACGGATTGTTTATTATCAATTATGACTATCAATATATATACTATTTATATTGTCAGTTAGTGTATTTATAAACTCACAACAATGTGCCTTACTACCATTGATAATAACAATATTGTGTACCTACGAATATTGATGTCATAAAAAACCAATTAGCTACCTGTATTTGTATTACTTTGTGTACTAAAAATTAGAAATCAATAATATTAATTGTCTATATGGAGAAAGCTTGGTTGAGCAAATTTTTATTTGATAAAGAGGATTTTCTTTTAATTTTTGATGATATCAGTAATTAGTTATGAACATTTGATAAATCGTCAGAAAAAATTGGTCAAGTGAAAGCTGAGAAAATAAATGATAGCCACAAAAAAAAATCACATAGTAAAATAATTTTTTATGAATAAGAAATTATTCTCTCGAGGGGAGGCTACAATAATAGAGACCGTGATATTAATTGAAGTTATTGAATCTAAATGAGATAAATATAGTTATAGTTTTAGTTTTNTATCATAACATGAAACTAAAAAGTAAAAAATAAATATAGTTTAAAAAACTAAAAAAACACGCTTTTAAAGCACGTCGAACTAAAAAGTTAAAAATAATTTTTAAAATAAGTTTAAAATAATTATGAACAAAAAATACTAGTATTATTGTGATAAAAGCGTCGGGCGCTCAATATACGACAAATATGACACAAAGCACCCACGCTTTTATCACAATAATACTAGTATTTTTTTTCATAATTATTTTAAACTTATTTGAAAAATTATTTTTAACTTTTTAGTTCGACGTGCTTTAAAAGCGTGTTTTTTTAGTTTTTTAAACTATATTTATTTTTTACTTTTTAGTTTCATGTTATGATAGTAGTTACTATCAATATCATGGTTGTTACGGGTAACGGGAAATCAGGGTTCGATTCCGGGGAGGGAGTCTGAGAAACGGCTACCACATCCAAAGAAAGCAGCAGGCGCGTAAATTACTCACTCCCGGAACGTGGAGGTAGTGACGAAAAATGACGATACGGAAATCATCCCTCGTAATCGGAATGAATACTTTATATCTCTTAATTAGAATAAATCGTGTTAATATATTAATTTTAATAGTAATTAGAATATATATATTTATACAAATAATGCGACTTAACTACGTAAAAGTATCATGCACTAAGTATAGCTGTGTTTTATGGCCGGGCGGGTCGGACTAACGTTATACCCGAGGTATAAACGGCGGTAGGTATATATATATATATACGTAAGGCGCATTAGACGCGGGCGGTATTGGTCAGTCAAAATAAAAATTTGTTTACATATATATAATATTGATGACAAGCACGCGTGTACGGGTACGATAACTAAAAATAAATTTTTATAGGAATAGTGTGCCGTCGTGTGGTGAGCGAGGCGTGGGGAGGGGTGAATGCGTATAACAGTCTAGTCTAGACAACGGAATATGCGATAACGCGTGGCGTTTGGAGAGTTACAAACATACATACATACATACATACATACAGGTGAAACTAATATAAGCGTGTTAAAAATGAAATGAGTTAACATTTTTTTTAGTGGAATTATTTTTTTATAATTCATTATTCATTATGTAAAACCAAAATTTGAATATTAAACATTCCTGTTTTTTGACCAATGAAATGTGCCAAATTGACATTATTTAACTTATCATTTAATTGTTTAGTCATTAGAATAATTACATGTAATAAAAAGTAATATTTTTAATTTTTAATGGATAGTAAAGTGTTCAACTACAATAATTTTTATTTATTTTTTTTTGTCATGCTGCGAGTTTTTGAATTAGTCTTTCAACAGGTATAACATATTTTAACAATTTTTTATAGTATTGTATTTAACATTTTTATTAAATAATAAAAATTAATACTTGACTAAATCAATATATAACCCAAAAATATTTAATGATAGCTTAATAAACAATTACATTTTTTTCAGATTTGAATTACATTCCTATGAAAACATTACATCGCCTTTAACATCAAGTGAATGTGATATTGGACCACCACCAATTGAAGCACCACCTCCTCCACCCCAATCACATATTATTATATTATAATATCAATTAACACAAAACTTGTATTTTTCTACCATAAAAATCGTAACAATTTTTTTTATTAGCATATTAGATGTATTTATTTTTATGTAAATTTAATTTATATAATAACGTTTTTTTTTTTGTGGAATTAATTTTTTATAATTCATTATTCATTATTTAATACCAAAATGTGAATATTAAACATTCCTGGTTTTTGACCAATGAAGAGCGCCAAATTGACATTGTTTAACTTATCATTTAATTGTTTAGTCATTAGAATATTTACATGTAATAAATTATTATTTATTTATAAACCAAGTGACTAATCATGAAGTTTAGTATAATGAAAGTATTGTTATAATTGTTGTATTATTTAAATGTTACATTCAATACAAATTTATGTTATGAATTATTTATATAAATGATACCTTAATCTAGTACAGGACTAATATTATCTTACTTCTATTTTAAACATATACTTTTTAAATAAATTTTTCCAGTATTTATATAGTCTAATTGACATAAAACTACCAATAGTTGTTTTTTCGGCTGTATTTATTTATTTCAACTAAATGTATTTAAATTAACAAAGATTAAAAAACGTTAATTTATTTAATAAAGAAATATTTTTATTTTAGTAAAACTATCAGAAAATTTTATAGGAGAATTTGTCATGCTTTTTATTGTTTATCAAAGTTCATTAAAGGTGATCATTATTCATCTGTCATTTCCTTATAAAGAAACATTCAATGACGTCAGATACATTAATATATATATATATATATCTATTTAAAAAATTTAAGCTGGTATCTATTTAAAAGATAAGGAATGAATTTAAAAAATACTTGTTATAATATTTATGAAAATCAGTGTACTCCCCTTGTCAGGTATTTTAAAATAAAATACATAACAGAATTTTAACACAAAAATAGCATATTTTTATATACGGTAGTCAATTTTGACTATGAAGACAAGTCTAGAGGTCAAATTTTTCTTTTTTTTCAAATTAAATTATATTAAATAAGCTTAATCTAAAGCATATATAAAAGTGTCATTATTTCCAGAACATTTTCAAAAGATCTACTTCCTATATGCATATTTGAAGTTTTGAACCCTCTGTATAAAAGGTAATAGTTCGATTTAAAAAAAAGTATGTCGAATAAAAGAAGTATATGTATATATATATATATATGTAATAGTTATCATAAAAAAATAATATTGATCCACATTTTTTTAAATGCTATAGCAACATAAATTTCAAAAATATAACCATTTATACTTGTCCCAACTATGCCACGTCCACACTGCCGCTATCCCACTACCGTTTTTTTTTAGGGTAAATTTAGTGATCAACGATAAATAAACACCCTAAAATTTTAGAAATTTTGATTTCTGTGTAACAATATATTTATATAATATATATTTTATGTAAAAATACTTTTTTAATTTTATTGATTTTTTTTTTTTATTTATTGAAATCATAGGAATGCATTATTATAAAAGTAGTTATCATGTTGGTAGTACTGCTGTCTTCTGAACAACATTCAAATTATTATTTATCAATAATCCAGGGTCGAGAATATTTGACGTTGTCGAGTTTGTGTCACCGGTAGGTTGCGCTAATGTAAAATTACGTTTACTTCGGTGTTTTTAAAATAATAGTCTTATGTTTTAACACTTGTGATTATCCAGATATATAAATAAGTATTCAATGTATTTATATTTAGAAAAAAAATTTTTTTTTAATAAATTATCTCAAATTACAAAAATAATTGATTTGTAAAAGACATAGTGTAACTAATCAAATTACTGCGTAGTTTTTTTTGTCTTTAGTTCTTTTAATACCTCTCTTCTCCAGGTCACCAGTATCGCTTCTCGGCCTATCGGCTAAGATCAAAGTGTAGTATCTGTTCTTATCAGCTTAACATCTGATACACGATTCATTGAATCGTTCAAATGTTAAACTAATTTTTTCACTTCGGTGGAGATATTGGAGCTTGCTCCTACTCCACCACGGGTTGACCCGGTATTGCAGTACCACCGGGAACGGCCCACATAAACATATAATTATTAACGTAAAGCTTTCGCTATGAATATATTCATATAACTCGTTGCGCGCCTTAGTGACATTTCAACTTACCAATATGAAGGCCCAACATGTATGAATACTATATAGATGAAGAGTTGGGATAACGGTTTCTATAAAACTGTGTAAACGTAGTAGCCAGATAAGTCTATGAAGGATTAAATTTCGAGGTTGAAAATTCTAATAGAAATGTAACAAAAGGTAAAGAAAGAACTATGTAAAAAAATAATGTATATAAATCTTGTCGAAATGTACCTTTTGACAAATGTATATTGAATACAACTTTATTGCTTCATCTGCAGTACCACTTATAGCTTCAATCTATGTAATATTATATTCTAAATGATAATAAATATATAATTCCCCGGAATCGAACCCTGATCTCCCGTTAACCGTTACAACCATGATATTGATAGCAACTACTATCATAACATGAAACTAAAAAGTGAAAAATAAATATATTTTTAAAAAACTAAAAAAATACGCTTCTAAAGCACATCGAACTAAAAAGTTAAAAATAATTTTTAAAATAATTATGAATTAGAATATACTAGTATTATTGTGATAAAAGCGTGGGTGATTTGTGCTATATTTTTAACAGTTAAAATGTAGTTTTTTTAAACTATATTTATATTATAGTACCGATATATATACATGTAAAGCGACTTAAGTACGTAACCTATCATGCATTAGGTATAGCCGTGTTTTGTGGGCGGGCGGGCGGGTCGGACTAACGTTATACCTGAGGTATAAACGGCGGTAGGAATATATACGTAAGCCGTATTCACGCGGATGATAATGGTCAGTAGGGATGGGTAGTTCGTGAGTGAGTCAACTCAAAGAGTTGACTCTTTTAGGTGAACTGAATGAGCTGAATCAGTGTGCCATGGTACTGTGACTCAATGACTCAGTGTGGACTACTAAGAATTGAATTTAGTTTAAAACGTCTTATCAATAAATTCTGAATCATGCGAATTGTGATGTATAGATTTAACTTACAGAAGTAGAAGTTGACGGAGTAACATTTGGGTCATCAATCATCTCTTCTATTACATGAGTCTATTTAATAATGGATGCTTAGATTTAATATATCTAATTAAATTTGAAGTCGAAGAATAATTATTTTTTAATTTTATACGACAAAGTCCACACTTTACATGAATATAAACTGCTTCAAGTTGAAAAAAAAATCCCAAATAACACTTGATTTATTCATTTTAAAATGAAATAAAATACCTTCGTAAATTAAATAAAGTGTTTCACAATTTTTGATTTTGTGCACAAGATTTATTGTAATCACAGGAAACAGCGTTAACACAATGAGTAAAATTTTAAATAAATAAGACTAGATTATACATAATATGTCTGTTTTTAGAACAATATTCATTCAAGAATAGACCTGTAATTGCATACAAGAAAATTTTGAAATATACGAGAGAAGAGACCTATTTTTCTCACTGCATGCACTAAACATTAAACGTTGATAATACCTACATTGTATTTATATACCTAATTTAACACATAAATAAATCTATGTATTGATGTTAATAATAAAAAAATAGTTTTTTTAGATTTTAAATTTACTTTTTATTTCAATAATAATTAACAAATTTAAATATAATTAGTAAAAATATTAAACAATTTAATAGAAAAATATTTTATAAACATCAAATAACCAAATAAATTACTTTTTGTATCACTATTGTGGGTATGTATTGAGAATCTAAAATTTTAACAGAAGAAAAAAGAAATCAAACTATTGAATGATTAAAAGTTTTAACTAAAAATTAGCTCAACCATCTTATAGGTAAAAATCAGGGTTTGAGGCCCATTATCTCATAAAATTATTAATTAGTAATAACCAACTACTTTTTCCATAATGTACATACAATTTGAATTTGATTCTCATTTCTTTCGGGCTTTTATTGAATTCCAATATATATAAACAAATAATAAATAATAAATTATTAATAGCAATATTACATTTCATTTTACAATAGTAGTTAATAAATAATAATTATTTACAATGAGTAAAATAAATTATTATTCACATTTGTGTAAAACAATAATTCATTGATATTTCATATTTGATATTAATCTAGCTAAGATAACTATTAAGGCGCATTTAGAAGGCACTCTATGAGTATGCCTTGTGAGTTGCGAGTTGTAATTCACGTTCCACAAACTTCTACAACTCACGAGTCAGAATCGCGCCTTTAAAGATTCGACGATTTGTGAGTTGGGATTTGGAGTTGACTCACTGAGTCAACTCATTTGAGTGAACTGATTCATATCAGTGAGTCAAAAATCCCATCTCTAATGGTCAGTCAAAATAAAAATTTATTTATATATATATATAATATTGGTGACAAGCACGCGTGTACGGGTACGATAACTAAAAATAAATTTTTATAGGAATAGTGTGCCGTCGTGTGGTGAGCGAGGCGTGGGGAGGGGTGAATGCGTTATGACAGTCTAGTCTAGACGACGGAATATGCGATAACGCGTGGCGTTTGGAGAGTTACAAACATACATACATACAAGTGAAACTTATATAATCGTTTTAAAAAGGATTTATATTTCATATACTTTGACCGCGTATAAAAATGTTTTTTTCATCATATATATTCTAGGCTATATATATATTTTTATTATCATTTAGAATATAATATTACATAGATTGAAGCTATAAGTGGTACTGCAGATGAAGCAATAAAGTTGTATTCAATATACATTTGTCAAAAGGTACATTTCGACAAGATTTATATACATTATTTTTTTACATAGTTCTTTCTTTACCTTTTGTTACATTTCTATTAGAATTTTCAACCTCGAAATTTAATCCTTCATGGACTTATCTGGCTACTACGTTTACACAGTTTTATAGAAACCGTTATCCCAACTCTTCATCTATATAGTATTCATACATGTTGGGCCTTCATATTGGTAAGTTGAAATGTCACTAAGGCGCGCAACGAGTTATATGAATATATTCATAGCGAAAGCTTTACGTTAATAATTATATGTTTATGTGGGCCGTTCCCGGTGGTACTGCAATACCGGGTCAACCCGTGGTGGAGTAGGAGCAAGCTCCAATATCTCCACCGAAGTGAAAAAATTAGTTTAACATTTGAACGATTCAATGAATCGTGTATCAGATGTTAAGCTGATAAGAACAGATACTACACTTTGATCTTAGCCGATAGGCCGAGAAGCGATACTGGTGACCTGGAGAAGAGAGGTATTAAAAGAACTAAAGACAAAAAAAACTACGCAGTAATTTGATTAGTTACACTATGTCTTTTACAAATCAATTATTTTTGTAATTTGAGATAATTTATTAAAAAAAAATTTTTTTTCTAAATATAAATACATTGAATACTTATTTATATATCTGGATAATCACAAGTGTTAAAACATAAGACTATTATTTTAAAAACACCGAAGTAAACGTAATTTTACATTAGCGCAACCTACCGGTGACACAAACTCGACAACGTCAAATATTCTCGACCCTGGATTATTGATAAATAATAATTTGAATGTTGTTCAGAAGACAGCAGTACTACCAACATGATAACTACTTTTATAATAATGCATTCCTATGATTTCAATAAATAAAAAAAAAAAATCAATAAAATTAAAAAAGTATTTTTACATAAAATATATATTATATAAATATATTGTTACACAGAAATCAAAATTTCTAAAATTTTAGGGTGTTTATTTATCGTTGATCACTAAATTTACCCTAAAAAAAAACGGTAGTGGGATAGCGGCAGTGTGGACGTGGCATAGTTGGGACAAGTATAAATGGTTATATTTTTGAAATTTATGTTGCTATAGCATTTAAAAAAATGTGGATCAATATTATTTTTTTATGATAACTATTACATATATATATATATACATATACTTCTTTTATTCGACATACTTTTTTTTAAATCGAACTATTACCTTTTATACAGAGGGTTCAAAACTTCAAATATGCATATAGGAAGTAGATCTTTTGAAAATGTTCTGGAAATAATGACACTTTTATATATGCTTTAGATTAAGCTTATTTAATATAATTTAATTTGAAAAAAAAGAAAAATTTGACCTCTAGACTTGTCTTCATAGTCAAAATTGACTACCGTATATAAAAATATGCTATTTTTGTGTTAAAATTCTGTTATGTATTTTATTTTAAAATACCTGACAAGGGGAGTACACTGATTTTCATAAATATTATAACAAGTATTTTTTAAATTCATTCCTTATCTTTTAAATAGATACCAGCTTAAATTTTTTAAATAGATATATATATATATATATATATATATATTAATGTATCTGACGTCATTGAATGTTTCTTTATAAGGAAATGACAGATGAATAATGATCACCTTTAATGAACTTTGATAAACAATAAAAAGCATGACAAATTCTCCTATAAAATTTTCTGATAGTTTTACTAAAATAAAAATATTTCTTTATTAAATAAATTAACGTTTTTTAATCTTTGTTAATTTAAATACATTTAGTTGAAATAAATAAATACAGCCGAAAAAACAACTATTGGTAGTTTTATGTCAATTAGACTATATAAATACTGGAAAAATTTATTTAAAAAGTATATGTTTAAAATAGAAGTAAGATAATATTAGTCCTGTACTAGATTAAGGTATCATTTATATAAATAATTCATAACATAAATTTGTATTGAATGTAACATTTAAATAATACAACAATTATAACAATACTTTCATTATACTAAACTTCATGATTAGTCACTTGGTTTATAAATAAATAATAATTTATTACATGTAAATATTCTAATGACTAAACAATTAAATGATAAGTTAAACAATGTCAATTTGGCGCTCTTCATTGGTCAAAAACCAGGAATGTTTAATATTCACATTTTGGTATTAAATAATGAATAATGAATTATAAAAAATTAATTCCACAAAAAAAAAAACGTTATTATATAAATTAAATTTACATAAAAATAAATACATCTAATATGCTAATAAAAAAAATTGTTACGATTTTTATGGTAGAAAAATACAAGTTTTGTGTTAATTGATATTATAATATAATAATATGTGATTGGGGTGGAGGAGGTGGTGCTTCAATTGGTGGTGGTCCAATATCACATTCACTTGATGTTAAAGGCGATGTAATGTTTTCATAGGAATGTAATTCAAATCTGAAAAAAATGTAATTGTTTATTAAGCTATCATTAAATATTTTTGGGTTATATATTGATTTAGTCAAGTATTAATTTTTATTATTTAATAAAAATGTTAAATACAATACTATAAAAAATTGTTAAAATATGTTATACCTGTTGAAAGACTAATTCAAAAACTCGCAGCATGACAAAAAAAAATAAATAAAAATTATTGTAGTTGAACACTTTACTATCCATTAAAAATTAAAAATATTACTTTTTATTACATGTAATTATTCTAATGACTAAACAATTAAATGATAAGTTAAATAATGTCAATTTGGCACATTTCATTGGTCAAAAAACAGGAATGTTTAATATTCAAATTTTGGTTTTACATAATGAATAATGAATTATAAAAAAATAATTCCACTAAAAAAAATGTTAACTCATTTCATTTTTATCTCATTTAGATTCAATAACTTCAATTAATATCACGGTCTCTATTATTGTAGTCTCCCCTCGAGAGAATAATTTTCTTTAATATCTATTTAGAAATAAAAATACTACTTTTTTAAAAAAATAATAATATGTATATTTTAAGTACATGTATTTAATTTTAATGATCTAGTTAATTCTTTTTAGTGTTAGAACTAATATTACGTAATAGAAATGATATTTATAAGTACTTAATTATACACTGAAATACTTAGAATGTAATAAGAAAATGTTCTACTTATTTACATAGATTTTTTTTTAGTTTATTGATTCAAATTAGAAGTAAAGGTATTAATTACATTTTTATATAATATTCAAATATTTATATGTCAAGAGAAAAAATAATAAACAATAAGCATGTTATTTTTAATCAAATAAAAGGATTAACAACTAGCGTAAATTTTTAATTCTATACGTGGAGAATAGTTTTTTAAATAAACTTGATATGCACTTTTAATATCTGTAGACAAGTTAGAAAATATTATTTAAATTAATATCAATAATTTATTAATACTAGTTTTTTAGAAAATCCTATAAAATTAAATAAATTCTTCATTTAAGTTTATAATTAATAATTAGTCAAAAAATACTAACAAATTAGAAGTAGGCGAGTTAGGACATGAATCTACTATGGTTGAAGATGGTGTACATGGTTTTCCTGGATCATAGCCAAGAAGTTCAACAACATTTGATTTGTCTAATGTAGGTGAAACCAAAGGTGAATCAGTTGTTGGATAAGTATTACAAGTCAATGCATTTTTTAAAACTCTATGAGCTGTACAAGGATTTATAGTAGGTACATTTTCCTCACCAACTAAAGTTGCCAGCTCATCACTATACTTTATATTCAAATACTCACGGCCAAACATTTCAATTTTCTAATAATACATAAAAAATGTATATTATTCATAAACTTGATTATAATTCTATAGACATACTTTTTCTGCAGATATTCTTGAGCATATGGTTTGAATGTAATGATTAATAGCAGTATAAATAAATTGATATTGAGCTTCTGATTGAACAAGACCTGGACGAAAAGATCGAACCATATGGGTAGTTCGTTGGATATCCAATTCATAATCAAGACCTAAATAAAATATTGTAATAAAAATTTTTAATTTGAAGAATATGAAGTATTGGTAATGATCAATTTCTTCAAATGAATTTGTAAAATCTTGTGAAACTCCTAGATCACTTGTACTTATTGTAAAAATATATGTAATTTACAGATAGTACAAATTAAAAAAAAAAGTGGATGACTATAATTTATAAAAAATTTTATAGTGTTACTAATCATTCCTAAAAATATTTGTTCCAAAATTAATAAAAGTAAATCAAATTATATACAAATTTCACAGTCACATGGAACTATAAAGATAGTGTAATCCCTTTACTATTTAATTTATTTACTTTCATTAATTAAAGAAACCTATAAATAAATTCCAGATACTTGAAAAAACCATACCTTTACGATTGATGAGACCAATAAGAAGATCTAACACAACAAATGTTCCAGTTCTTCCAATACCTGCACTGCAATGAACTGTCACTGGATGAGAAACATCGGATTCAGCTTCAATATTAAATTGACGTGCATTAACTACAAATTGTAGATCAAGCAAAGATCCAGCATCTGAAGGAACACCATGATCTGGCCAACCCTATTAATAAATTAACAAAAAAAAAATTATATTTAGAATAAACAAACTTTTTAATTTATTAAATACCATGTAATGGTACTGAAATATTCTTCTGTGACGACACTTTGGAATAGACAAGTCAAACATTCTTACAACCATATCATGTTGATGAGCATACTCACCAAGATTTAAAACTGCAATTTTATCATAAACACACGACTGACCTAAATCTGGCCAATATTTAGCACACTTTTCCTTAAAAAAAATTTAAAAGAATTTTTATATTTATCATAGAGCAGGTACAAGAAATTAGTGATGGGAATTTTCTATAATTTGAAACTATAGAATATTCTATAGTTTTAAAATACTATAAATATTTTTTATACAGCAAAAGTTTATTTTTACTATAAATTATCAAATATTTAAAAACTATCAAATAGTTTGAATAACTAATCTATATTTTCTATCACTAATAGAAATGTAAAAATTTTGTGACTAGATTATGTTATATGACCCAACTCAAGGAATCTTGAATGTCTCTCCTCCCAAAAAAACTGAAATTTCATAGTAATTTTTTTAGTATTTAATATGCTAAATTTATTATATAACAATCTCCAGATTAATTTTATTAAATATGTTTTACTACTGATTAAATTCTAAACAATTATTACTTTAGATTTTTCATATAATTTTGTTATCATAACAATTACACGAGAATCCTCCTGCCATATCATTTTCCAAAAATCATTAATTGTATTCTGCAAACAACCTTGTGTAACAATGTAGTTACGTGTCTCATAGTTATCAGCTAATGCATATAACTCAAGCTAAAATAATGATTACGTTAATGATTTTTTTTTTATTTAAAAATAATTTTAAAAATTACTTTGATCATATTTGCATTAATGTAATCAGAACCTGGTATACTTTTATCAGAATTTTTCAAAATAATTCTAGAATGATCATCTATAAAACAATATTATTAACAACAACAATAAACAAAAATAAAACTATATTTTACTGTAAAATATACTTACAAGGTAGAATATTTCTATATCTATTTTTGCATTTATTTTCATCTAAGAAGCCAATTTCTTTTGTTGTATCTCTTTTAGTTTCCCATTGTTGTAGAACATCAAATTCCTCCCAAAAACCTCCAGTTCCAATAGTATAATGCTGATATTTTTGATGCTGAAAATTAAGAAATTTCATTGATATTATTAATTTTTTTAGAGAAATAAAAATAATATAATTTATATTAAAATTGCACGCAGATTTAACTATATCTACATAAAATTTAAGTAATATCATTTTTTGCTATACATGAACAAACAATTGTTAAAACTATTCTTTCTTACATTCATATAATATGACATAAAATAGTATACAAATTTTACCTTTAATTTAAATACACGGTCAACAATTCCAGCAATACTAATTCGAGTCACATTGACTGGATTCATTAAATGTATAACTGATCCATTTTGATCTACCATAGGATTAAAACTGTAGAATTTCATTAAATCATTTAATGATAAAAATTCTTCTCCGCCACCAATATCATACTTTTCACCCTATTGAAAATATAAAACAGTATATTAAAAAATCTTGTATTAATATATATAATTTTTAATTATTCTTTTATTAATACTATAATAAATTTAATTTATATAATTTATTCATATACACCGAGTCATCCACTAACAAATCTCATATAATATTTTTAAAAATAATAGTGCTACAAAATTTTTTAACCATAATGAATCTTTGCTAGCTACTATATGAAAAAATAAAAAAATTCATTTTCACTTTTTGTAACTGAGTTTGGTATCAACTTATGATTTTCAAACTTCATCCCATATTGTTATTATATATTCCTGTTCTCATAAAAAATAATGTTTTTTGGTGAAAAACAATTTAAGTTTAATTATATAAGTTTTAAACGAGTTATGCTACATTTAAACTTAAGAGATTTTAAAAAAAATTTCTATATATGTTTTCAAAATTGATCATATTAATATTTTATATATCGATAATAGCTTTATTGTGATAACAAAGGTATTTTGAAATGTAAAAAAGTTTAGTGTAATTATTCATAAATGATGATTCTGTGCATAGAATCACATGAGGAGACATATAAAACATGTCTTTATATGAAAAAATCCATACAAATTGTATAAAGATTATGTGGTGATAAAATATAATTGTGTCTATCAAGTTATTTCCAAACGATTTGATTAAATGATGTTGAACCATTACGGCATTATGAGCAAAAGCACCACCTTGTTGCCATACCATAGTTTAGAGTTTAGCTAAAGGTTTATTCTCAAACAGTAGTAGGTAAATCATTTTAAAAAAATGCTAAATACCTATTGCCTGGATTTCATAGTATTGTATGAACTTACTGTGGTTAATCTTTATTTTAGAAAGCGTGAAGAACATTATATAATTCATAAGAGAAGGAGTAATAGATCACAGATGGATTAATTTATGTGGAAAAGAGAGAGAGTAATGCGAGTAAAAGTTTGTAAAGTTATACTAAGTGAGAGAGTGTAACTTCACAAGATAGACTGATGGTAATGGAGTTATGGTGAACCGAAAAGAGAATATACAAAAACAGAAAGAATACAGAAGTAAAAAGGAGGTTCCGGTGGTGGAAATTAAAAAAGAGTTTTTAAAGACGATAAAAGGACAGTGTGAAATAGAATTGCTAGTTGTGTTGATTTAAGGTGTAAAAAATGTGTTGATAAGAGGCTGCTATCGAGTGATGATAGAAAAAAAAGTATTTTGAAAAATGACTGAATGAGGAGTATCCAAAAGAGACATTAGAGGATATCTTATGGAACGAGGGAATGGTAGAATTAATTAGTGAGGTAATGGTATGAGAGGCTGTGACATCAATGAAAAGAATAAAGCAGTAGGACTAGATGAAGTGCCAGTAGAAGTATGGAAAATATTAGGTGGTGTTAGCATAAGGTGTTTAAAGGATCTTTTAAATAAAATCTTATTAGAAGGGAAAATTACAATTGAATGGAGAAATATTATTGTGGTGTTGATATTTAAAGGTAAAGGAGACATACAGGAGTGTGGAAATTATAGAGGCATTAAGCTCATGAGTTATAGTATGGAAATTTGGGAAAATATAACAGATAAGAGAATAAGAAATGAGAAATCTATAATTGGTATTTAAAAACCAGTTTGGATTTATGCCTGGTAAGTGAATAATGGAGCCATTATTTTATTTTTATTTTGTATGAGACAACTAATAGAAAAGTATAGGGAAAAGAGGAAAAAGCTGTGTATGATATTTATAGATTTGGAGAAAGCGTATGATAGAGTACCAAGAAAGGTTTTTAAGGGGGAATTAATGAGAAAAGGAGTCCTGCCAAAAAGGTACATAATAGAGGATATGTATGATGGCACTTGTACCAGAAAAAAAATTTGGGAGGAGTAACAAAAGGTATTAGGGTAAGAATAAAAACAAAACGGTAGCACAGTGGGGTCGAGGCACAGTGTGGACGAGGCATAGATAGGACAAGTATAGATTATATCTGACAGTGATTAAAATCACTATCATAAGAAACGCTTCGATTCAAATCTGTAGATAATGTTTCATTTAGAGAAATTGGTGGGTTATTCCAAAAGCAACATCAATTCTTCTTTCTTTAATTATATCCTGATTAGTAGTTGTTTGATTTTAAAATATAATATATGAATAAATACTAATTATAGTTTTTAAATTTAGTATGAAATTGTGAGGCCAGCTATGATGTATGGTTCATAGTGTTGGGCGGTTGATAAGAAAGTAGAGCAGAGAATAAGTGTAGCAGAGATGAGAATGCTTAGTTGGATGAGTGGAGTGACTAGAGAAGATAGGATAAGGAACGAGCATATAAGAGGAAGTATAGGTGTTGCGTCAATCGTGGATAAGATGACAGAAAATAGACTTAGATTGTTTAGTCATGGTATGAGGAAAGAAGAATCGAAAGCTGTAAGAACAGTTATAGAAATGAATGTTGAAGGAAGAAGAGATAGAGGAAGACCAAAAAAGAGATGGAGGGATGCTATTGAATGCGATTTGAGGACAGCTGATGTGAGCGTAGAAGATGTGGGAGATCGTGTCAAGTGGAAGCTTAGGATAAGGGTGGCCGACCCCAAGTAGTTGGGATTAAGGCAAAGAAAAAGAAAAATATTACCAGAAATTCCGGTGGCAATTGACATAATATGATTGTAGTTTCGGAATGTACAATTTAGCGTTTAGTTGGGTTTAAATAATATAGCGTCAAATCAATTACCTACTCTATCGCTTGTATATTAATATACACTACACTTTAATGATACAATAAATAAATAAACTCACACATACACACATATGCATTTATAACATTGTGTCTAATGTAAGTATAACATGATAAAAAGTAACCGTAAAATGAAAAAAATGGAATATAAATTTTAGTACTCACATTAAATGTAATTTAACTCGAAAAATTTTTGTTTAAATGAAAAAATATAAGAAAATTTTTTTGTTTATAATTGTCTTTTAAACAAATTTTGTACGAAACTTTTTTTTGTAANTTGTCTTTTAAACAACTTTTGTGCGAAACTTTTTTTTGTAAGTTAAAAATTTTTTAAAAAAATTAAAAAAGCTCATATTTTTGAACTTTTGCGAGGCTGTAAAAAAAAAAAGCTCAATTCCAATCTTGAGGACTATTAGTANAAAAATTAAAAAAGCTCATATTTTTTAACTTTTGCGAGGCTGTAAAAAAAAAAAGCTCAATTCCAATCTTGAGGACTATTAGTATGTCATTATACATATTTTAATTCAACTTTTAAAAANTTATACATATTTTTATTCAACTTTTAAAAAACAAAATTTGTTTGGAAATTTTTTCCGCAATTTTTCCTTTGTTGACTGGCTCAATTACAAGCTAAAAATTATGGTAATATATTCAATTTTTTTTACTATAAACTTTCATAAATCTTTATCAAAAATGTTTCATCAGCTTTAAAGAACCAAAAAAATAGGTTAAAATGGAAAATTTGGACTGATTATTTTTAACATATTAAAAATCAAATAAGTAATAATTTGAAAACAAATTTTTTTTTCTTTTGATTATTATTTTATATATAATTAGTAATAATATAAAAAATTAGAAGTGATAAAAATAGTCTACTTGCAGATTTGAAAACAACGNTTAGAAGTGATAGAAATAGTCTTAATGCAGATTTGAAAACAACGCGAAAAGTTGATTTAGAAAAGTATATTTTTGCTTCAGATGAAAGTTCCTTATAGTCCAGCGAATTTTTTTATAGTAACAAACAGTTTTTATTGAAAATTATTGTATCAAGCCCTTTAAATTTTTATACACATAAAAGTAAAGCAAAATATAACTTCTTTATTATTTTTATAATTTCTCCGTTTAAATTACAATATTAAATATCAATTTCATACTAAATTTAATAATTATAATTAGTATATATTCAAATATTATATTTTAAAATCAAAGAACTACTAATCATGATATAATTAAAGAAATAAGAGTTGATGTTGCTTTTGGAATAATCCACCAATTGCCTAATTAAAACAAAAAAAAAAAAAGTTTGTTGGGAATTTTTTCTGCTATTCTTCAAAATTACTCCTTCGTTGACTAGAATGAATCATTAAATAGAAAATTTTATGAGAATTAAAACAATGTTATTTTTAAGATTAATATGCAGTCAGAAAGTTTTATAATTATTATTTATTGTAAATTTATCAGAAAAACTCATTATTTTTTGCATTTTTATCGTAATAGAACACTTAAATAGAAATCATAGTAATCATTTCTAAGTAATTTTTGATATTTAAAAAGATTCTACTATTGAAATATCCAGAACTGAATTAATTTTAATGATTTACTTTAACTAAAAAAAAAAAAGTTAATATTTTGAATCCCTCTTGTGGGCAGGTAAAGGGTTAGATTTATAAAAAAAACCAAATGATAGATAAAGACATGCATCTAAATAAAAAAAAATATACTGATTTGGTCATTTTTGATAAAGTTATAACAATTAACAAAGTTATAAGTTTTATACACTGGACTACAAGGAACTTCCATCAGAAACAAAAATATACTATTCTAAATCAACTTTTCGCGATGTTTTAAAATGTGCAATTAGACTTTTTCTATAACTTCTAAGTTTTAATATTATTAAAAAATAGTTTTTACATATAAAAAAAAATAATTAAGAACAAAAAAAATTGTTTTAAATTAATACTGATTTGATATAATATTTAATATTAATTTGATTATTAATAAGTTAAAAATAAGGAAAATGACATATTTAACCTATTTTGTTAATCGTTTAAAGTTGATTGTTGTAAATGTTTATAATAAAAAAAAAAAATTTATTTTACCATAACTTTTAGCTCAATTGGTAAGTTTGACATTGACATAATTAAATAGAAAATTTTATGACAATTAAAAAAATTGTATCGTTAAGATCAATATGCAGTCAGAAAGTTTTATAATTACTATTTATTGTAAATTTATCAGAAAAGCTCAATATTTTTTTGCATTTTTATGGTAATAGATAACTTAAATAGAAGTAATAGTAATAATTTCCTAGGAACTTTTGTTGTTTGTTGAAAAGATTCTATAATTGAAATATTGAGAACTTAATTAATTTTAATGATTTACTTTAACTAAATGTACCAATCAAAACAAAGTTGTTAAAAAGATTTACTCAATTGAGTGTATTATAAAATTTGATTATATTTGTAAAAATCAATTGTTAATTCAGGAGAAAAAACAATCATTTTTTTTAGAAATGATTTATATAGCAACATGTTAGAAAAAAATTTGAATATTATAGTCTAATAGTAGCACACACAAACAGAGTAATAAAATTATTAAATTACAAAGTAAAATGATTTAATTTTGTAGTTGAAACCTATCATATCAAACTTCATTCGTTAATAAATATTTTGAAAACATTAGAAATTAATGATTTTAATTGTCTTTATGGAGACGATGTAATAACTAACTGTTTAATTGATAAATTAGAATTTTTTTTTCAATTTTTGAGAGTAATATCTTCAACTAGATACGAATTGTAGTAATTTGACGTATTGTTGAAAAAAGTAGGTCAAGTTAGAGCAGAGAAAATAAATGATAGTCACAAAAAAATATCTTTTTAGCTTTGCATCGAAGCTAAAACTTAAAATATAGTAGAATAATTTTAATACGAATAAGAAATTTCTTCTTGCAAGGGGCAAATAAAGTGATGGGATCCTTGATCTTTATTGAAGTTATTGAAACTAAATGAGATAAAAATCAAACGAGTTCAAAATTTATACTAACTTAAAAAGTATTAAGAAAAAATGCAAAAAATTCATTGCCATACGCGGGTTGGAACCTCGTACCCCAAGTGTGTAAAACATAAGTTTTACCAACTCGGCAACCGTACGTTGCTTCCGGCGGTTGAAAAATTGGCTATTTAAGCTAGTTCAAATTTCAAAGTTATTTTTCTCGACTTAAAAGAAACAAACATATTTAAATAAGTTTAACTATCTATACTATATCAATTTTAATTTATATAATATTTATGAAAATCTGTACTCCCCTTGTCAGGTATTTTAAAATAAAATAAAATACAAAACCCAGAATTTTAACACAAAAATAGCATATTTTTGCATACGGTAGTCATTTTTACCATGAAGACAAATCCAGAGGTCAAATTTTTTTTTTTCACATTAAAGTATATTACATAAGCTTTAATTTAAGATATATTTAAAAGTGTCAGTATTTCCGGAATACTTTCAAAAATTAAATTGAAAATATCGTAGTAACAATACGCATGTTTAAAGTTTTGACCCCCCTTGTTAAAGGGGTATGATCCGATTTACAAAAAAAGCGTGCCAGATGAAAAGGGTATATAAATATTTATTATAAAAAAATATTAATATTGATCCATACATTTTTCCAATAGTTATATAAAATATAAATTAAATAATATAACATATAAAATCTAGAATTTTTTCACGGAAATCGTACGTTTTTCTTTAACTTTGATGTCCGTTTTCACCACGAAGACAAGTCCAGAGGTCAAATTTTTTTTTTTCAAATTAAAGTATATTACATTAGCTTTAATTTAAGGTATATATAAAAGTGTCAGTCTTTCCGGAACATTTTCAAAAGTTAAGTTGAAAAAGTTAATTTTTTGTAAAAAAGCTACCATTTTGAAACCCTTCCTGTGGGCTGTTAAAGGGTCAAATGTTCACAAAAATATATAAAATGATAGGTAAATATTTAAGGTATCTATAAAAAAAAAAATTATATTGATTCGATCATTTTTAAAAAAGTTATGGCAATTTTAAGTAAAAAAAATTGAAAAAATATCGAAAATTAGCGATTTTTAAATTTGTAATTTTTTGGGGGATTTCCCCCGTTTACGGGGAACGAGAGAATTTTTTTCAATTTTTGAGGGTAATGTCTTCGACTAGATATGATTTGTGATCTTTTGACATATTGTTCATCAAAATCGGTCTAGCGAGAGCTAAGATTGAGCGTTCACAGACACAAAAAAAAATTAAAAAAACACATCATAGTAAAATTAATACCTTCTCAGCTTCGCATCGAAGCTAAAATGTACCAATGTTCTGTTTTAAGCCCTTACTTATTTTTTATAGTGATGGATGAAATTACAAGGAAAAATGCCTGGTGCTTGTTGATTGCTGACGATATAGTATTAATAGAAGAAAATAGGGAGGAAATTAATCAAAGGCTAGAGGTGTGAAGATCAGCTCTTGAAGAAAAGGGTTTAAGAATAATTGGAGTAAGACAGAGTATATATAGTATGAGTTTGACAAAGGAGAACTTTCGATTTGTAACTTTATAACATAAGGGTCTTTCATTATAAAGTATATTTTTTTTCTATATACTTAATAGAGCTATAAGGTTATTTTAATTAAATGAAAAAAAAATTATTAAATCAAATCCAATATTGTAAAATTAAAAAATAGGATTGCTATTTGAAAATCTGAAGTTTTAAGAACTATTAAGTATAATAGTAGAAATTTAATTTTTCTTGTGGAACAGTTGATTGAAAATATTACGTGAGACATAGTTAGTAGATCATTTTATACATAAATAAATATATATATATATATATATATATATATACATATATAGTTATAAAATTATTTTTTCAATAAAAAAAGAAACTTACATTAAATCGGATCTTAATTTCTGCTACTTTATCATCTACATTTACAGTTAAAACATAGTTGCCTGGATCAGATTGAGATTCTCTAACCAAATAACTACCAGGTCTTCCTTTTTCCAAAATTAAGTACTCTGCTTCTTTTCTAGAAATTTGACCATGAAACCATCTTTCGTTTGTTGGTTCAGGTGATCCAATCGGTATAAGTAATGGTAAAGGAATACCCCCTTGTTCTTTAAGTACATGGGGATGTGTCATATAGTATTCTATAAGATCTGTTAAAGTAGAAAATTTTTCTCCTCCATTAAGGTCAAAAAGATCATTATCATTATGAATTTTTATATGATTGACTTTGTTACCATGCCTAAAAATTAAAAATTGTATAAAAAATGATGTTGAAATTTGTTTTACTAATTTACATTACCTGACTGATAATACAAATTGTCCTTTTCTGCTATAAGATTTTCTTACTAAAAATGATCCTTCCACTCCATCATCCAAAAGAATACGCTGGGCATCCATACCATTCAAGTGTGAATGGAACCATCTATCAATAATATAACATAAAAACATCATAGTAAATCAGGTGTTAAAATAAAATACTAAAAGGAAGTACAAACCTTCTCGACATTTTTAAAGTCAATCTGTGAAAGATTCAGTTCACATTCTAAAAGAAAAAATTTAACCAATTGAAATTTGTAAAATTTTAATTTTTATATATTTTTATTTAACATAATACTCACGAAATATCATAGCCTAAAGGCTTAAAGATTTTTTTCATAAAATCGATCAAACTGTGTGAACCAGAAATATTTACATACACATTTAGAATATTAATGCGTCAAATGTCCTTCATCGTAGATGGCCATCATAACACAACAATAGTGTCACATAATACGCATAATTAACTAGGAAATCACGAAAACATCAAAATTTACGGACAAACTATAGATACCTTTTCCACATAACATAAAGATAATCGTAAACAAAATGAAAAGTTATGGACAAAAATAAACAGTAGTGCTAAATAATAATACTGAGAAGAAAATTTTGGATCGAAAATAACTTAAAATGATAGGTGTAAGTGACTGATAACAACGTAGTAGATGAAGACCTTCACAATTACCCCACCACATATATGTGTATTTGATTTCTCCATGATAACCTTAAAGCAATGATCAAATGACTGATATCATTTTCAAAAAATCAGGTACCTGTATACAAATTTTTCATAACATTTATGTATTTTTTTTTTATCTTCCAATACTTATAGTAAAAATATTTCGATGACAACAATATTATTTAAAATATTTTTTCATAAAATATTTTTCTAGAATAAGGTTTAATTATAGACTGATTAGTTTCTATAGTCATGGATAGTGATTCGGAAAACGATTTTCTGGAAGATGATTATTACTCAGTATTAAACTTACCCAAAACTGTAAGTTTCAAAGTTAAAAGTTTGATTTATATTGATCTACTTTAGATATTTTGATTTTTAATTAGGCTACCCTTGAAGAAATAACTTATGCTTATCGACGATTGAGTAAAATTTATCACCCTGACAAACATGTGGATGAAAGTAAGAAAACAGAAGCCGAAATATTATTTAATAAAACTCAAAAAGCATATGAAGGTATTAAATAAAAATCTATATCCTTTAAATATTCAAATTATTATGTGTGAACTTTGCTTTAGTTTTAAAAGATCCACATCAAAGAGCAATATATGACTGTGTTGGAGTTAAGGGATTAAAAACGGAAGGCTGGGAAATTGTTCATAGAACAAAAACTCCTCAAGAAATTAGAGAAGAATATGAAGCACTGGCAAGGTGTTTAAGAATGTTTGAATAAAATATATGAATTAAATAATATAGCTTTTTATTTTTACAATTTAGAGACCGAGAAGAAAGAATGTTAAGATTAAGAACAAATGCTAGATGTGTATTTACAGCTAATATTGATGCTTCTGATGTGTTTGAACCTAATAAATATTTAGAATACGATGATAAGTAATAAAAAATAAATAATTATATTTTATTTATATATTTATGTTTCCTAATATTATAGTGTAGATAGTTACATTTACATACCTTCAATAGAAGTTTCATCAATGTCTATGTCTATGTCAACTGATGCACCTATTACTTTACGTGATACAATTGTGCTAAGTGGGAATTTATCATCACGATCTGGTTCAGGTAATGCTTAACATTTTATTTTTTATTACATTATTCACTTTTAATCAATCAAAATAATTTTTTAGTGTCGAGTAGTTATAAACGACTCTTAAGTACAAATGGTTGGATCAAATATGATATTACTGCTGGCAATGGACTTCATGTGGGTGCTAAAATTTTCAAGTAATAAAAAAAAAAAGATAATTTTTTAAGCAAAATAACTTATTTATTTACTTTTTGTCAAAGAATGTTGACCAAAAATGTATTTGGTACTATTGAAGGCAGTCTCAGTGATTTAACTAGTGGAAAATTAAAGCCTATTGGTCGTGTTATGTTAGGAACTAGTTTAGGAAACAGGACATCAGGTTATATATCACTTGGTGGTCAATTATCATCATTGAAACATACTACATTATCTACAGAAGTAGAACATAATACTGAAAGAAGTTATTATATGTGTAAGATAGAAGTTGGATTTGCTCCAGCAATTAGTATGTTGTATACATGGAAATTTCTTGAACAAGATATGTCATTAAGAATTTATGCCAAGTAAATAATTTTTAAAAATTTAGTCATAGTGTCATTAAAGAACTTTATATTTATTGATTTTTAACTGTATATTAAAATTTTAATTAAGAGCTGGTGTGATTAATTCAAAACTAGAATATGGACTTGAAAAAAAAGTGTCCAAACTCAATACATTTGCTGCTGCTGTTCAAATTGACACATTAAATGGAATTACTCTTAGATTAAAGTAATTAATATACAATAATTTTCATAATCTTTAAAAATTACAAAAATAACTTATGAACATTTAAATGTATTAATAGTAACTGGCCATGATAACAAAATGATTCACATTAATTTAATATCTTAGTCAAAATAAATTTTATATTTCAGGTTTATTAGAGCTAGTCAAACATATGTCTTTCCCATTCTTCTTAGTCATGATATAATACCTGCACCTATATTCTATGCTACTTTTGTTCCTGTTGTTTCATGGTTTGTAGCTAAAAATATTATCTTAGATCCTGTAATGAGAGAGTATAAGAATATGAAAATCAATAAGCAACGTGAAGTTAATAAAAAAAGGTTCGACTAAATATAATTTATCATTATGAAAAATATATTATTCAGTACATGTTTTTTTTAATTTCAGAATGGCAGAATTAAGACAAGAAGCATTAGCAGCTATTAATTTAATGATGGCTACTATGGAAAGAATAGTCAGAGAAGAGACTGAAAAAAGAGGACTTATAATTATTTTAGCAAAATATGGTAATGCTGAACTAATCAAACAGTCTGGGCAATCATTGGCTGATGACAATATTTTACAGCCAAATATTATTGATGTTACTGTCCCACTACAATGTTTAGTTAAAGATTCACAACTTATTCTCCATAATACAACAAAAGTAATAAAATACTTATTAAAAAGTTTTATTAGTATATTTCTACTATACATTACAATAGAACAATAAATTTTTATTCAATTACTATTTTAACTAAAAATATAATTTTAGTGTCAGTTGCCTGGATTTTATGACCCATGTATTGGTGAAGACAAAGTGTTGAGTATTCGTTATATTTATAGAGATAATGAGCATGATGTTACTATTAATGACAATGAATTTTTAAGGATACCAAGACCTCATCGTAAGTTCCAGTAAATTAATTAGTGTTCAAAATTTAAAGGGTTAAATTTTTTATTTTACTTTCAGCTCATTTATCTAGAACATCTACACCACCTAATTTATGAGTCAATCAAAGTGTAATTAATTTAGTAAAATGTTTAATTATTACTGCTTAATATGTATGTTAAAACTATTGTTGAAAATTGATAAATTTTTGATAGAAAAACTTAATGAAATTGTTTCATTGTTAAGCATTTTCTTTATCATTAAAAGTATATTATACTTTCAATATAACTTAATAAAGATATCAGTATCTTATACCTGAAGATTGTTTTTAAAAATCATACTTTTTAAAGCTAGTAAAATAAATTGATTAATTAATGCAGTTATTTTAAATTGTATAAGCAATAATTTTTTAGTTGATTACACACTAGAAACAAACTGCATAAAGTTTTAGTCTGCTTATACTTAAAAAATAATTTCTATATTTGAGTTGGCCCTATATTATAAAATATTATTAAACAGAGAAGCAAATATTTATTGTTTTTATATAATAATAAATTACAAAAGTTATTAATTGATTCTCAAATTAAATTTCATTAAATTGAAATTTATTATTAATGAATAACTTTTTTGTTTATATACAGAAATAGTAATATAAGTTTATTATTTTAGCACTTTTCTGTTTTAGTTTTTATCTAATGTGTAATATCTGTTGCTATTTGATTAAATTATTTGTTTTTAAATATTCATAAATATTGTTCATGTCACTCCATGGAATTATTTCAGCTTGAATAGATTTAGTTTTTAATAAATTATACAGAACATATCCGTACCTTGGAAATACTATATCATCTTTATTTAACTTCACAACTGGACAGAAGTCATTTTTACCATCACCAAAATATAACGTTTTTTTATAAAATTGATTCATTTTTAATTTATAACCTTCTAAAATAATACCTTTACAAATATTTTTTGTACAATTATCACATTCAGTTCGTGTTGTATATTGTTTTATTTTAATAATGCCATCTTCAATTTTTGCTGGATTTGTATGTATGTCCATGATTAAATTATCTAATTTGTTTTGTTTTAACCAGGTTTCAATAAAAATCGAATTAGAGTCTGAAGCAATAATTATATCAAAATGGTTGTTATAGAGTGATCTCAATAATTTTGGGAATCCTTTATTAACTTGTGCATTTGCTATAGAATTAATTATTTCTTCTGGAGTAATTCCCATATCATAAAGTGCATTAAATACTTGTTGCATATATTGAGTCCAATCTTTTGAGAATTTTTTTAGATTTTCTATTTTGTCTAAAGGAAGTAAATCTCTTGCTATGACATCAGAGTTGTCATCTATAATAGTATGGTCAAAATCAAACACTGCCAACATTTTTGTAGGATCCTAAAATTAAAAATTTATATTAGGATTTAATTCTTTAAATCATTTAAATAAAATAATTAACAAATATTAAATTAGGATAAATATATGCAGCAAGTCAAGGGCACTTATAAGATAATTTCTAGGGAAAACAAAGTAATTTTATGTTCTGATGACTTTGTTTTTTTGCATATCATATAAATTTTATCATATTTATGAAAAACTTATAGATATAAAGTAAATATATTTAAAAAGAAAGTATCATTTTCGATGAAATATTAATTTTTTAGGGGAGTTATGCCCCCCTCATGGTCAGCTTAGCAGAAAATATATTTTTGACTTAATTATATTCTATATGGTGACCCAAAGATAGAATTCATAATGTAAAATTATTAACTCTACTTTGAATGAAGAATTTATAAATAAAGATTAAAGACTTTATATAAAATCAGTTAACAGTGAGTTATTATAAAGTATGTTATCAATAGGGTAACTTGAATTTTTAGTAAAATATAAGTTGACATTTAATTTTTAATAATCTTATTAGGGAATAAATTATTCTTGAGCTAATTTTTAACCAATATATTTAAATACAGCATAATTTGATTCAAAAATTGTTTCTAATTAATTATATCAAATTAAAAAAAAATCAACAACAAATGTATAAAAATTACAAACATTTATTTTTAAGTTTATTAACATTATTTTAACTTAATAGTAACTAATGTAATTGACAAGCTCGAATAGCAATCAATTGTAATACAAGAAATATTGGTGACATTATTTCTGAATAATCTAAATTTGAAAGACCAGCTAATCTTCTACATAACATAACTTTAAATAATGACCAAACAAGTAATAATGCAGCAGACCAAATGCATCTTGCAACTGCTTCTTTAATGTGACCTTCGATGTATAGGCGAATTAATACAATAATGTTGAAATATATACATAAAGCATCAGCAACAAAAAGTGGTGAGAAAACTATCCACAAGTCATAAGAGCCAGGAGAATTTGAATCAAATGCTATTCCATCAAGTCTGAGGGCCAAAAAAATTGTAAACACTAACAAAGCTAATAAATGAACTAACATCTCGAAAATAGTTAGCCCAAGCCATCTCACCAATTCTTGCAATGCAAAAAGCATTTTATTTGGTAATTTTTATATGAATAGCAGATAATGAACGCTTTCTTGATTCGTAATCGTCGTCGTCATTTAAAGGTTCTAAAATATCTAAAATAAATAGAAAATGTCATCAATAAAGATGATTTTATAATTGAATTTTAAATTAATATTAGAAATAAAGTTACCATTTATATCAGCAGTAGATGTTTGTACCTCAAGTTTTATTGTATTGTGAAATTTTTGTTGAAGTTTCAAAGCAACATCAATAGTTGTATTGATTGCTTTTCCAAGACCATTCAGTATTAAAACTGAGTTATCTAACTCGAGATGCTTTGCTGCGCGAGTTAAATGACACTAAAATAAACGTGAAAAAAAAAACTAAAAATAATTTTCATCTACAAAAAATTTTGATCAATGAATTATTTTAATCATAAAATTTAGATGACAACTAAATAACAATAAAAGCAATTTACATAATTACATAAATCAAACAACAATAACTAAATGTTTTATAAATATTCCTTTCAACAAAAATGATCAAAAGAGTACTGAATTTTGAAAAATTGCAATTATAAAGTAAACTTTGTTCCATGATTATTGATATTTATCCCGGAATCAGCAAAAATAAAATTTCTGACACTTTTTAATAAATTTTATCCCTCTAGCAATATATATTAAATTTTTAAAAGTAAGAAGCAATCTAATTATTGTGATTGAAATTATAATATTAATATACTTTTATTTATGATTTTTACATTCTGTATTTTTATAAAAATAAAATCAATATAACTAAAAAAAATTATAATGGATTCTTATTTTAGGTTATTATGAGTGACTCTTTAATCTTCTAAGCAAGTATAGTTCACTAAGACAGATTAGTACTTACAACCATTTAAATAAGTTGATGCAAAATAGAAAATTTTCAAAAAAATTTTTATAACTTATCACCTTTATTAAAGTCTAAAATTGAAAAATTCCTTGTTTTATTATTATTGTTACAAATTATAATCTAGAGGTATGTACAAGAAATGTTTATCTTTTATATATGTCTATAAAATAACTTGATATTAATTTATTACTACATACCTGTATTGGTGTTTTAGAAGACACAAATAATTCTTTCACCACGACATTATTTTGCTGAATTGTTGGTAAAGAGGACATGGATATTTTTGATTGAGTGCAAAATTATCTCAATTATAAACTATTACTTCAGTTAATATTTTTAATAAATCGTTATGAATAATTAAATATAAACGTTTTCAAACAGATTTTAAAATACTCAATACATCATTAATATATACTGATGATTTCGGTAAAAATGATTAAGTAAGTTAACACATTTTTAATAGAAATTTGGTTAACAAATTCCCATTTTTGTTTAATAGCGTAATGTAATCAAAATTGAACTAATATTCATAAGTTATCTTACATTTTTTTATTATCGATGTATAATTCATTGTTGGATATGGTAGGGTATATAATATGTAATATATATATATATATATATATAAGCATAGTATGGAACAGCTGTTTTATTTACAATGTTATCTAGATTCAGTAGCAAGGTAAAGAAAATATTGCCGTATCAGTATGGATTAAAAATATATTATTTAAAAATCATAAAAGATAATTTAAAAACCAAAAAAGTCAATATCACAAAATCAAGGTTGTTCGTTTAAAAATATGAGTGGTTTAAATATGTTAAAAAGAAATATTTTAAAAAATGTTAAATTGTTCAATCAATCAAGATTATTACATTTAACACCTAGAACTGCTGCACCATGGAAAACTGTGGCGAAAAGAGAAGGTCTTAACGGCGAGTGAGTTTTATATTATATTTAAAACACAATTTTAAATAATAAATAAATTTACGTTAAAATTATTTGTTTCTTTATAATTTTGAAACTTTCAAAATTCTAGTATTTTGATTCCATATTATATCTGTAATAGAATGGCAAAAGTTGATGTAATTTTTATTATTTTGAGACAAGAAGATTCCATTTTAAAATATCATGTGTCATAATTTATGGAAATAACATAATTTTTTCCTTATAACTATAGTATGATATTTAAGGAACTATCCACAATATATCTTGTTGCATTTTGTATTTCATATGTCACTAAAAATGACCCAACAAGAAATGTGTTAGTTTTCTTATATTTAAAAAATTAAATTTAAAGACAAAAAATTTCATAAATCAAATATTATATTTTTTGCTAATGAGTTTGGCATAAAAATTATTTAGCGTTGTTTTTTTATTTATGACACTACTTGTTTTTAGGTTATTTTGAAACTAATAGTATAATAAAACCAAAATATGATGTATCGACTTCTATCATTATGTTTAGTATAAAACAATGTTATTAATTAATTTGAAATATACTTGATATATTTTTCAGCCATATATTAGATTTACATTATGATTTCCATTACCGGGGTATAGTAGAATTTGATGATTGGGATAAAAAGAAAAATTTAATTGCTGATGTTTGTATGGGTATTGTATTAGCATTTGTATTGTATAAATGTTACTCTGAGCCAGAGCATTTACTTGTAAGTATGAATAATAAGTCATATTTAAGTAGGATATTAAAGTACTATTTATGTAAAAATAGGGAGACTTTGAGTATCCTGATGCTTCAAAATGGACAGACGAAGAATTGGGTATACCTCCAGTTGATTAAAAGAAAATATTATAAAAAATTAATATGTAGATATATAAATGAAATTTAATGTCAAAATATAAGAATATATACCAATAATTTAGTTTCGCTATATTCATACTGTGTTTTGGTATTATAACCATAGGTAGATATTTGGTTAAATTATTGGGCTAAATGCATATTTATCTAAGTGACTTAAAGGTGCTTCTCTCCCAAATATAAATTAATGCATAATAAAATATTTTTAATAATAATAATACTTTTAATATTATTAGAAATTATATGAAAAAAAAATATATATAATTATATTCAATAAATATATATTTAATATCAAATTTACAACAAATGAAAGGGAAATACGTAAGGTTTCTATATGAAATAAATTATTTTGATTCGTTAATTTTTGAATAAGTTATGGCAGTTTTAAGAAAAAAATATCAAAATTTACTGATTTTAAAAATTGTATTTCTTTTTTTGAGATTTCCTTTATTTACATGGAACAAGTGAAATTTTTTCAGTTTTTAAGAATATTGTCGATACCACACAATTTGTGATGGTATCTAGTTATATATATATTAGATATCTTTTATTAGATGTATTGTTGAAAGAAATTGGTTCGGTGAGAGCTGAGAAAAAGTAGCGCCACAAAAAAGACAGTAAAATTAATACCTTCTTAGCTTTGCATTGAAGCTAAATTTAATAACACTACAGCAATTGGTTGATATTTTTTACTATTAATATGTTTAATAATAAATTAAATTAGTTATAAGTCAATTTAATGTTCATAAAAGTATATTTAAAGGTACTTTTTTAATTAAGTTTCTTTATGGATACAGTTTTTATTTCAAGATATCCGGTTAAGCCATCTTCTCCTCTATAAAAGCACAAAAATTCCTTATTACAAGATATTTTATTTAGTAAGTTAATTTTCAGTAATACGTACAATTCTCTACCTAGTCCTGATTGTTTAAATCCTCCAAAGGGGCAAAGTGGGTTGACAGCTTCATAACAATTGACCCTATTATGATCAGCATATTAAAACTAATATAAATATTGATAAATTTATAAGAATAAGCAAAAAAAAAATTTTATTTCTTATAAATACATTGAAGATGTTTACTATATAAAAAATAATTAATAATTAATAATGAATCATTATCTTATTTTACTAATAATCAAACCATCATTTATAAAAGATGTATTACCACACGGATCCTGCATCGACACTTTCAGAAAACTTTAATGCAATATCAATGTTTTTGGTCAAAATACCAGCTGCTAAACCATATTCAGTATTGTTGGAGCGTTCGATTACCTCATCAATAGTTTTAAATTTCAAGATTTGCTGAACGGGTCCAAATATCTTCACAAAAAGTTACATATATTTTTTTGTAAAAAAAAAAATTGCAAATAATCTACCTCTTCTTTAGCTATTCTCATATCATCAGTAACATTAGAGAATACAGTTGGTCGTACAAAATATCCAACATCTCCAACTTTAGACCCACCCGCTTCTAATTTAGCCCCTTCTTTTTTTCCTGACTCGATCATACCTAGAACTTTGTTGTATTGTTCTTCATCCACCTGGTATATTATATTATGAAAAAATGTTATTGTTAAAAAATCACAATATTTAACGTCATACCAAAGGTCCCACTTTAGTTTCACTTTCAAATGGATTACCAACTTTCATTTCTGAAGCTAATTTTGCAGCTTTTTCAACAAATTTTTCGTAAATGCCTTCTTGTACAAAAGTTCTTGTTCCTGCACAACAGCATTGACCCATATTTGCAAATACTGCATCACGAGCAATACTAGCTGCTTCGTCAACTAAAGTAAATAAATAACAGAGCATAAATGGGGTATTAAATACAATACAGTGACGGCCCAAGCACGAGACTTTTGCGAAGTCCTGGGAAAAATAAATTAAAATTATAATTGTTCCCAGGATTTTTTTTCGAATGAGGAGTTATTACAAAATTTGTATGATGAACTTTTATTTTGCTTACCAAAAAAATTTCTTCTGCATCACTATTTGATAAAATATTGATAAGCAAATAAAAATTACATAAACTGATTTTTTTTATGAAGAGTTAAAATATTCAAATATTGCTAACAACATCGAAAGTACAAACCCCTAATTTACCCTAGATATGCCACTTACCACTTTAACATATTAGTATTTAAATACTCAATATTTAATTCTAATATAATAAATATAAGTACTGAATTTTTGTAAATCATTTTTTCGTATACAAAATTAACTGCAGTTTTATACTGTAGGGTTAGCAATGTTAGCAGCCGCGGTTATATAATAATTTATAAATGTACAACCTTTATTATTATCAATAAAGCTTTAACTTTAATTTTGAACCACGGAGCCCAGGTAACTACCCCTACTGCTCTCTCGGCGATCCCCAAATAAATAAATATTTAGAGTTTCATAAAACATTTTCAATAGTTATGTTTTCGAAAATAAACCTTTTTTGTTGATATGTAAGCATATACACTTTAATATAAATAATATACAGGTATTATTTTTCTAGAGTATACGTTAATTAAAAATATTGTAAGTGGGTATACACCATATACCATAAAAATTAATATAGTATTATAAGTAAGACTAATGTTAGAGAAATGCGAACTTTACTCGCATAAAGCCTCGTACTTAAAAATACCTCTATTTCCCTTTTAAAGCTTAAAATACAACATTACTTATAATAATACAATTAATCTGTAATATTTAGGTTAATTTAATATTGCGAGTAATGGATCCATATTTATAAACCCTCCCGTAAAAAATCAACATTGCATCACTGGTTTAATTTGAACCGAATTGTTTCATATTGTATGTATCATAATGGTACATCAATAATTTAGTTTTATTTGTAAGTCAAATTTTTTAAAACTATTGACCATGTAACCTTAAACGTGTATGAAACATTATTTTTAAATTTTAAGCTGTTCCATTGTATTGTATAATTAGATCAAATAAGTGATTTTTTTAGTCTTTCTTTTTATTATGATTTGAAAAAACTTGGTATCGTATTATAATTAATAAGTGAAGATAATGAGTCTGTATATTTTTTATAACGCCTAATAAACGCTCCTTAATTATTAATTTGAAAAGTAAATAAATTGATATATGGAACACAAAAAATAGGAGTAATAGTCCCTTATACGTTTATGCAATTTTAAATACTGTAAATCCCAGTTTTTAATTCACCATCAAAATCATCAAAAATCACAAGAGGACTTTTGCCTCCTAATTCCAAAGTGACTCGTTTCATGTTGGACCTTGCAGCTTCTTGCATTATTAATTTACCCACCTAAAAACATATTATTATTAATAATAAATTTACATAATTATGATAGGTATGATTATACAAAGATTTTCTAATAGTTTAAATTAATCAATCAACAGTTTTATTGTTAAATACACAAAATGACGGCGATTTTGTTCTCTACAATATTTAGGTAAATTCTAAATGGTTGATTCCGATTCTGACTTCAGATTTTTTCCACCAAACCTAGTCTTTGAGATAAATAAGAATTAGTAATTAATTATTAATTAAACAACTAAATCATTGTAAAAATCTAAAAAAATATATATATTTTTAAACCCTACTTATATAATTTGGTGAAATTAAAGTAATTGTGTAAAATTTTGAGCTGAAAATATATTTCTAATAATATATAAATGGTAAATATATTTTTTTTCATAATTGTACTTTTCCTGGTTATTTGACATGTAAAAAATATAAATATTTGAATTCCTTAAAATTATTTATTTATCGGTAGCCGATTTCATAATTATGAGATTAATCCAAGAATTATAATAGATTCTATTATTTTATAATAATAAAATATATTAATAATAATAATAAAATAAAAATTTAGTTTTTTTTCTTAAAAATATATCACAAACTTAAATTAAAGGTTTATAAATACAATTAAACTTCACAGATAAGCCCAAAATTTTGCAGAAATCTTTTTCAATTTCAAAAGTTAATAAAAGTATTATATTTTAGTTTTTTAAATTAATTTTCAATTACTAATTAGTAATGATCTCAAGAACTAGATGCGATGGAAAAAATCTGAAGCCAGATTCGGAATCAGCGTCAAAATTTCTTATAAAATTCATCTAAAAATTGTGGACTAGACAAAATTTTTCATTGTTTGTTGTCATGTATAATTTTTAAATCAACAATATAGAACATTAACAGCAAGGCTCATTTTTTTGAACTTTGTAACTACGATTAGTATAGGCTAATTAAAGTAGAGACATATGTTATTTTTAATATGTCATATGTTCTACCTCTGTAGAGCCAGTAAATGCCACTTTATTGATATCAGGATGTCTAGATATAGCTGCACCAGCTGTTGGACCATATCCCGGTACAACATTAATAACACCATCAGGAAATCCTGCCTGAAAAATAATTTTAGTACTACTTATCAAACGTAATAGGTAAAAAATAATTACTTCTTTTGAAAGTGCTGCTATGTACAAAGATGTCAAAGGAGTTTGTTCTGCTGGTTTAAGAACTAATGTACATCCAGAGGCAAGTGCTGGTCCCCATTTCCAAGCGAGCATTAAAATAGGATAATTCCAAGGAATGATTTGACCAACTACACCAACTGGTTGTGGTTTAGTGAATGAAAAGTATGGTTCATCTATAAAAATAAATTATGAAGCATAAAAAAATAACCTTGGACTGTTTAAAATAATTCGTTCCAAAGTGGAATATACTAATTACACCCCCAAAATAAAACAATTTTTTAAATTTCATGATTATATCACAGTATTATTTGTGAATATATTATGATTGATTAGTAAAAAAAAAGTGCCATACAAATTGATAATATTTAATATTTTTGACATGAAAAATTTTAAACCGAAATTAAATTAGCACATAATTTTTAAAAGTTGATTTTTATTTTACTTATAATACATCGGTTTTATTTAGTTAAAAATGTAATCATTTTTTAAATAATTTACTATTTTGAATACTTACTCGTCGGTATTGTTTTGCCGTGAATTTTATCCGCAAATCCAGCATAATATTTTAGTGTGGATATTGATGCATCTATATCTAACAAAGAGTCTTCATAGGGTTTTCCGTTGTCCAAAGATTCTAAACTGGCCAAAGTAATTTTGTGGTCGTTTATCAAATCAGCTAATTTCAATAATAATTGACCTCTAGCAGTAGCACCTATTGTACGCCACTCAGATTCAATTTTGAATGCAGCTCTTGCTGCCTTAACAGCCAGATCAACATCTGCCTAATAATATGAACTATTACTTGTTAGATCAATTAAAAAATTAATTAATTTTTAAAAATCTATAAACTTGAAGAATTAAATTAAAAGAAAATTGATTTTATTTCAATTTTACAAATCAATATTCAATGCATGGCAAGGCCAAGCGATGTAAGTACCAACTCTTTTTTTCGGAAAATCAATGATAACCATTTCATTTTTATGTGGAGCATTGGTAGCTCTATTCTTGGAAACTCGTTTTTATAATTTATTATATTAGGGTGCACATTCATCCACTAGGGTGTCCCTATTTTTTAATGGACTTATGATAAAGTAATTTATTGTCGTGAACAAATAATCAAAAAGAAAATTTTTGTAAGCAATAAATATGTAAAATCCTTAGTACAGGACATGGGATAAATACCCCAGTGCACTTTTCTTGGGATCGGCTTTATCCGCCCGTTCTATTACGACAATAATTTTTAAGTATTTATCCACAAGTGTAAAGATCATTTGTAGTAAACATTAATCGATTTTTCGAATAAATATTGTTTTTACTGATAACTTTGAGTACGTAGAAAAATTGAAATGAAGCCCTTATTTCAATTTATTTTAATCTACATTTTTATTTTATTTATGAATAATTAAAATATACATGTTGACTGAGTATAAAAAAAAAAACAAATAATTAAATTTTTTAATTTTTTAATTTTAAATAAAACAAGAAGAAAAAAATCCCTAGAACAAAAAAGAATGATTATTATGATCCAACCTCGTTAATTCAAATAAGGTTTGGAAAATTTAAAAATAGTTATTATATTTTTTATCAGATTACCTTATCTCCTTCAGCGACATCGGCGATTTTTTGCTTGTTTGCTGGATTTAGCGTTATAAATGTATTTCCACTAACGGAATTTATGAACTTATTGTTAATAAATATCTGCAAGTAACATTTTTTACAGTGAAATAATAATAAATGTTTATACACTTACATTAACCAATGATATCAAACCAAAACAAATGTAATAAACAGTGACATTTATTTTTAATCCCCTATAAAAGTTTACTACTATATAAATGAATAAATAAGTAATCATTTAGCCTATTTTCCCATTTAGCTAGTAAAATTTGATTCGCTGGTGATCGAGTTCAGAACCCATAACAGTGTGCATCAGTGCTGTCACGTTACTGTCTAGTATACACTATCCCGTTAATTAATCATTAATCAATTTCAGTATAAAAAGATAGGCACTACTTTTTTTTAATCGTACTGTGTGTGATATAAAATTAAATACGTATAGTTTCAAATTTAAAAAAATGTATATTGAGTAATTTACTATACATTTGAGAATTTTGTCGAACTAGAGTGAGAAGACTTAACAAAAATCAAAATGTCCTATACAAAAAATGTAAAATAAACCCTGTTAAAAAAAATAAAACTGTTAGATTATTAACAAACTTTTGTGAACTTAGCAATTTTGATAAAACAGATATTGTTTTACTTTTTAATTAAATATTAATCATTATATATGTAATTCAATAGCTTATCTCTATTCAAAAAGATAATTAAAATTTTCTAAGTGCAATCAACAATAGAAAAAAACAGATAGATACAAATGAGTTTTAACCGAAAAACATTTAAAAACATTATTGACAATGAATTTCTTATTAAAAATTATTCTAATTAAAACAAGTAAAATCCTTTCAGTTTAATAAAAATTCTTAAACACAATAAATGTCTGCTACTCTGTAGTTCAAAGAATTTTTTAGTAATGATGGTGAAATAAGAATTATGTAGCAGACATATTATATTTTATATTAATAAACATTGGTTTAACATGTTAATAAATAATTTTTGTATTAACTATAAAGTCTATTTCGACAAAAAGGTTGTTTGAAAAAACTTGTCCATACGACATAAGGAAAACAGGGCAAAGTAATAACATAAGTTGTATTTAAAGGGAGTTAAAAGTGGAACACCTCTCTATAAATATAATTTTTTTGTACCAATAAAAAAAAACATTAATAAAAACGAAATAATGGTTGAAGCTTTTATTGTACAATTAAAATCAATAGGTTATTGATTACGCTTAACATACGGGATTTAGATTAGATTTGGATATTTTCTAAATAGCTAAGTGAATTATTAAAAATATTACTATTTTTACTATTATTTCTCTCGTATAATTTTAATAGAAAAGTTAAAAATAAAGATTTTAAAATATATTATCACACATTTTTTGGAACAAATTACTTTGTTTAAATTTATAATTATTTTATAAAACTACTCTATAGTTTAACTCCAGAAAATGTTGAATGAAATAATTAGTGATATTTTGTGATGCTTATAAATTATAATATGTAACAACAAAAATATTATTAATACATATAAAATTTAATTAATTAATACCTGATTATACAATACTTTTATTTCAGAATTTGCCATATTAAAAATAAATTTACTTATGAGTATTGTGAATATATAACAAAATAAGCAAATTTCACTGATTAACTATTATTAGAACCTGCTCACACACAGAAAAACCATACTGAATTAATATTTTACATTGGTGTAGGAGACATGAATTATAGTTAAATAAATAACATATAACACTTGAACACGTTCACCTATAAAATTAGTCTCGAATTATAATGCACAAGTTTTAACGAGCGCATACAAAGCGATAACTTCAGTCAATATATGTTTTTCTAGTAAATAATTTAACAGCAATTGAACAATGTTAAATTAAAAGTAAATATTATTTACATTAAACAAAATATTTTTATCTGTGGTTTCTAATTAGTTCATATCTAAATGTACTTTAATATTTGGAGACTTTTTCTTAAAATCTTAAAAAATATAACACACATGCTGCTAAAAGAGCTTTGCTTTTGTAAACGTATTTATTGAATATAAATATATTTTCAGAAAGGCTGAAATAAATTTGTTTATAATTTTATGATGTATTTATCATAAAATTATAAACAAATTTTATTTTTGATGATCTTCTTTTTGGATTGAAATCTTTCTTAAAGTAACGTTGTCGGTCTAAGTTTAGCCGTTTAGCGTATAAATTTAGGGAGGATCAAAAAAGGATGTAAGGATTTTTTAGTCATCAAAAATCATTTTTAAAAATTTTATCACGCTGAGACATTTTTTTTATAGGTGATAATAGCTAAATGAAGGACACACGTTCCCTGATGATCTGAAAATGTCTAATTTTATTAGATATACTTAATACATTATACTCTCCTAATGTATTAACAAATTTATTAATAATATTAATAAATTTATGAGCTAAGGTTGCATATGATTATATTGACAAAAAAAAAAAACTCTAAAAAATTGTTTCTATTATATATAATATTTTTACATTCATAAAAAAATTTCCGTATTTTCATATAAGTGTACTGAAAGATTTTAATGCCAACAGTGTAAGGTAAAATGTATACTACTTGTGTGTAAGAGTAACGTATACATAAGAAGTATCATACTGATATAAATATAACTAATTTAATTTGATTATAATTTATCTATGAATTATATATAATTTAAATATAATTGAATAAATTTTAATTTACAATTCTAATTAGATTTTTAAAAGAAGTTATAGAATTTAATTAAATTGATAAAGAAAAATACAAGTTTAACTCAGTATGAATAATTAAATAGTAGTTGCGCCACTAAGTTAATTCATTAAAATATGTCAAGATGAACCGATTCAAGTTGAAAGAGCTCCACATAAAATACTCAGCTTAGGAACCCTTAAGGTCAAATTGTGCATTAGGTTTTGTACTCTGATAGCTTATGAGAAGGTTAAGACAAACAATGGTTATAATTAACAATTAAAACTTATTTTTTCTTTTTTTTTAAAGGAGGGTATAAATTGGGGTACTTACCTCCCCTTCTTATATGAGTATATTGTTTAACTTAATATAATCATAAATAATTAAAAAAAAAAAAACCCAGCACAGGGGGGTCGCGGCACAGTGGTGACGTGGTATAGATGGATCAAGTATAATGATATCTGACAGTGATTAAAATCACTATCAAAAAAAAACGCTTCGATGCAAATCTTTAGATAGTGTTTAATTTTAAAAAATTGGTGGATTATTCCAAAAGCTTCATAAACTGCTAGTTCCTTATTAATATCCTGATTAAGATAAAGTATGTCGAATGAAAAAGGGATTATTAAAAAATAGTATTTCCCATAAAAAAATTATATTGATCAATACACTTTTCAATAAGTTATAGCATTATAAAGTTAAAAATGTAAAAAATAAAATTGAGAATTTTCACACAATAATAGCATTTGGTAGCCATTTTCATCGTGAAGACAAAATAAAGTCCGAAATTTTTTTTTTCCATAATAAAGTAGATTACATTAGCTTTAATTATGGATATACATAAAAGTGTTAGACTTTCCGGAACACTTTCAAAAGTTAAGTTGAAAAAATTAATTTTTTTTAAAAAAGTTGTCATTTTAAATCCCCCTCTGTGGGCAGGTAAAGGGTCAGATATGAAAAAAAAATATACCAAATGGTAGGTAAAGACATCATGCATCTATATAAAAAAGAATTATATTGATCCATACATCTTTAAAAAAGCTATAGCATTATAAAGTTAAAAATGTAAAATACAAAATTGAGAATTTTCACACAATAATAGCATTTGGTAGCCATTTTCACCGTGAAGACAAAATAAAGTCCGAAATTTTTTTTT